CAAAACTTTGGAACTTCCCAGAACTGCATAAAAGATATCAGAGTAAAATTTACATCAATTATTAAGAAATTTCATTTAGTTCAATTATTAGTTAGTCTCAATAGCTATTTGAAGAATAACTAATTATTATAATATATGTACTTTTAACTAATGATGAATATCCTACTCTGATTTCTTGCTTCAACTTCAAATTTTTGAACATTGGAATGTAAGGATTCATTTTTAGATTTGACTTAAATTCAAAGACATAAGTTGACTGTAAAAATAGATTTAAAAACAAATTAAATTTATTCGAATTTCAGGGGTACAAACGAATTCCAAAAAATAAGAAGCAACGTGTCCATTTCAAATTGTGAAGAGGGAAATATCTCGAGTTTATCTTTTCGGAAGTGAGCCATCTGTTTCAGACTAGTACTCACTAAGAGATTGCAGTAATCAATAGTGATTAAAGCTTTTAAGAATGAAAAACTCCGCTACAGATAAGTAATTAAAGAACATTTACAGACCGAGACATTAAGCCAAGGTATTTTATAATAGCGGGAGAAGTTGGTCGGGAGGGAGAGGTGATAGTTTGCGAAACGTCTAAACGCACCTGAAGGCATATATCACAGTGATCACAATAAATACCGTAGCACCGCCCGCCATGAAAAAAAACGAAATTCTGACAAACGTTAGAATAAGTTTATTTATTTTCTTTAATGGTCGGAACCTTCAATGAACATTCTCTGGAATTAGTTTTACGATACCTCCACCAGTTACCAGTAAGAAATTAAGTTCTCCGCGTGCCCTATATTCGACCAAGATTCGTTAGTGAGTTGATTACCCCAGGAAGTATTCGACTTCTATAATATCTTCAATGTGCCGTAAAATTGAATGATACGCTCTATTCATTTTCGATTTGAATAAAAAGAACTCTCTTCTTCTAAGCATCACGTCTCACTTGATGAATCGAAGCCTGCTCCAAAAAGGATTGCCAGTCCTCTCTATTAAACCAAGCAATTTTCTATAGTCCATAACCACGCAATCCTCCCAACGAAGCTTGGGACGTTCTACTCGCCTATTCCCATTCACTCGCTCCGAAATTTTTTTTTTTAAAGGGATCTCTCCCTGATGCATTCTAATTACATGACCTGAAAAGCGGAATCGTGAGAATTTGATGAAGCTGATGACATTGACGTCATTATACATCGCGCCAACTTCGGCATTTGTACGTTTTCTCTTCTCTCTTCCTAACAGTTTTCCAGATTTCCTTAAAAAGCATATATGCTCCATTGTCATTTTCACAAAATGAATCAATTTAGGATAGATCTTTAATCCTGACATTGCCTTGTATGCTTCTTCTCTATTCACGAAGTCGTATGCTTGCTTAAAATCTATGAACAGATAATAAGTTTGGATCTTAAACTCTTTTTTTCTCCATTAGAACTAGTAGAGTGAATATCTGGTCAATAATCGACTTTACTTTACGAAATACACATCGATATTTCCCTAATTCTAAAGGAAAGAAGTATTCTAAATATGAAATCGGTTAGTTGGCATTTGCTGTGGGTCCACGAGTCAGGAAGGACCCCGAGGGAACCCAAAATCATATTTTCATATTATTCTAGTACCCCAAAAATAATTGTCTTGAATTCGTTTATTTCTCCAAGTTTTTGGGGCACCTCTAATAAGTCCCCAACATAAATGTTTTGTACTTTTTTAGAGCCGGAGAATTATTGGGGGAACGAAGATCATTTTTTTTATCTTTAAAGTACCGTTATATATTTAGCCAAAAAATATATTTATTTTTTTAATCAATCAATCAAAAATAAATCAAAACAATTTTTTGAATTCGTTTATTTCCGCATAGTTTTGGAGATCAAACATAAATGTTTTATATCTTTTCATCGCCGTAAAATAATTGAGAGCCCCATTCTGAGCGCCCCGAATATTGTTATTTTGTAATTTTCTAATTATGTGGTATGTTTGTCCAACAAAATAAATGCATTATATATGTACATATCTGTTAAAAAGGCTCCACTTTAGACTCTAGACGAGGCAGACCATTGTAGCAATAAAATAAATAATAGATTAAATTAGATGATTTACATCTGCTCATAGTGTGTCGAAGATAAGTAAAAAACAAAATACATTTCAAAGAAATACAATCTTATGAATAAGAAAAGAAGAAGTTAAGAAAAACAAAAAACAAATTATACCTACTCACAATCCTTAATAATAAGTGATGGAAATTCTTTTTCATATTCAAAACAATAAAAATAAATAAATGAAATAATGTTTAAAGAAAATTAACATCTTGTTGCATAATAAATATTTAGCCTGCGGCTGATTGAATTGTGAAGAAGAATTGGAATAAGAGGGTTTTATATGTAGATAAGGATGGTCAATGGCGTATTTTTGGTGGGATGTTATTCCAAAATGCTGTGGAACGGACAATAAAGGGATGTCTAAAAGAGGCAGATCTGTGGAAAGGGATGTAAATGTCACAAGGAAGAGAACTTGTGGAGAGGGTGTGAATAGATGATTTGAATTGTAGAAAATTGTATGGACGGACGATGATTATTAATTATTTGGTAGAGGAATGTGCCAAGGAAATATTGTCTTCGAAAGGAGGGGAAGAGCCACCCTAACTCAGCATAGTGGTGAGAAACACGGCAACTTCTCGGGATACCAGTGACAAATCCTACTAAGGCATTCATGATTCTTTTCAGTCTGTCCCCGAGTTCCGCCGATAGGCCAACCATACACCACGCAGCCGTAATCAAGATGAGGAAAATACTAGGAGTCTACGTGTGGGAATCGGTAGAAGATGGTGGAAGCGATGGAATAGTTTCAAGGTACCAATTGACCATCGGAAGATGTTAGCAATATGGAGATTCCAGAAGAGTCTTTGGTCTATGAAAATACCTACGTTTTTTACTGAAGAGCTGAAGGTAATCGGATGGCGCTATTTAGGTACAAGATAAGAATGTTGGTATTGGATCTTAGAAGGGATTTGGAATCGATGACAATGGCTTGAGTTTTTGCAGTGTTTGATCTTAATCCATTTACGTTTGGCCAGTCACTGATCCGATTTAAGTCTTTTTGTATTTTAACAAACGCTTCATGCAACTCTGAGGGAGAAAAAGAAAGTTGAATTTTGGAATCATCGGCGTACAGGTGATGGGAATAGTGAAGGATTGATTTATGAAAGTCGTTGATATAGGAACTATAGGAAAGAAGAGGAAATATGCTAAAGCCCTGGGCCACTCCTGAGGTCAGAATAAGGTAGGAAGACAAAGGTTGATTAGGAATGACGACTGCTTGGGTACGTTGAGAAAGAAAACATTAAAACAAAATGATAGAACTGTTAGAAATAAATAGTGATTTTAATTTGGAAAACCTTTTTTCCAATTTGCATCCTACGTAATGGTTGATGGTATAAAAGACTTTAGAAAAGTCTAGGAGTACTAGAACAGTTAGTTTTTGGTCAACTATAGCGGATTGAATATCACAAATGATTTTGATTAGGGCGGATTATGTGGAGTAACCTGATCTAAAACCAGAATGGGGAGGATCAAGTTGATTGTACTGTTCGAGGAAATTAAAAACTTGTGATTGCATCATTCTTTCAAGCGGTTTTGAAAGGTTAGAGAGGATTGAGATTGGAGGGAAATCTTCAGGGGATGTAGGGTTGAGTTATATTGATGTTAATGTTATATTGAACGCTAAAAATCGATTTACTTATATCTCAATGAACGCAATCTATATGGTTCCTTCCATGGTAGTCATGATCCCTAGTATTTTATTGAATTATTGAGTGCAATAATTACGAATAAAACTAATTTTAATAACCACTAACCAACATTTTGATCAATTACCAATAGTTCGATTCCTGTTATGATTTGAAAAAGTTTTTTTAAAATCTTTATCTTTCCAATGGTATATCATGAATTATTTTACTATTCTTATTTCAGGATATTTGTTTCCAACCAGCTAAAATTGGTCATCTATTTTTCTCCTTTTAGTTAACTACCAAATTCTTTTATAATTCATATTTATTTATTTTGTAGTGCTACTAATAATGGGCAACCTTTAATAATTTATAAGAAACAAAATTGCAGATACTTTAGAGGATACAAATTTGATGATTAGCCATTCATGAATTCTTTAACAATTTCGATGGAAATAAAATCTAACTGTTTTTCTTCCTTTTAGTTTTCTCTTTCACCTCACCTTCTCGTATATTCGGTGTTTTTTTCTGACCCAGGTAGAGGACTGGGTATTAATGACGGGATTCACGGTACGAGATCTAACTGATAGTAAAGACCATTCTTATGGTATAGCTAATCTTGACTGCACTCAAATGCAAGCATTTTCTTTTGCGATCCTTTCTATAAAAAATACCAATTTTATCCCTACCACTGAGTATTTAACCTCGCACATTGTTCATATCCATTCATTAATATACTTAATAGATCCCAATTATCCAGAAAAATTCTTTTTAATATGCACGTATTTTTTAATTGTTTCGAACATTTGTTTTAAAGAGATTTACATTGTATTTTACACGCAATTAAATATAACTAGAATGAGCATCAAGTTAGTTATATCTATTCACGTTCCTTCAGGAGGATTGACATATACTCGTAATATAATTATAAAGCATAGAAAATATTTTATATATTTACATAATTTTATAAGAATCACTGGTGATTCAATATGTGAGCTTTAATTTGAGTAGTTGAATGATAATATCCATAGGTTTCGTTTCGACGTTCAAATCTTCAAGATCAAGCCTTGTAGTAGGTTCAGCAAAGCTAAATTTTCATGATAATTGATAACTCATATTATCTAGACTAACTCGGGTGTAAAACACACGTTACCCAGAAACCTGATAAACTGAACCAACTTTGATGAACCAAATCAATCCTGATAAAGTCGTTCACCATAAATAAATTAATAACGCATCTTGGTTGATAAACAATCAGGAATGTCAGTCCAATGTGTTTATTGTAGTTGCCAATGTTTGATTATGAAGTATAAGTGTTAACTTAAGTATTAAATAGAGAAGTTTGAGTATACTTACTTACTTATCATTACCCTTACTTATAATATTGAGCTCGATAAATTGTTAAGCTGATACGTATGTGGTATCAGAAGGAATATATGTAATTATACAACACAGCAATCGGTCTGTATCCTACATTTTATTTTGTCAGTAACGACTCGTTTATGAACCACTACTCTTGGCTAAAAGGCAAACAAACTTTTTGAATCAGAATAGGTGCTGTTTATCTAATTTGGGATTCGATTGTTGATAATTCATTTATAATTTTCTTTTTAATTTATAAAACGTATGACATAGCAAACTCAAATAATGTGCTTTATATGAAGGAAAAAAAAACAATGTTTTTTGCACCATTAAATGAATTGTTATATTTATTCAAGTGAATATTTTAAACTTGAGTGTGATGGTTTGGTGGTCAGAAAAACATTTTTCTATATCGGTATGTTTTTCAGATCTTTTAAACAGTGCTTGCGTTACAATATTAATATATATGCTTTCTCAAAAAGACGGTTTTACTTAACCAATATCCTCTTTGAAAATGCTGATAAGAAATACAATGAACACCAATATGGAAATTTTAAAAGAAAAAATATAGGTGTTTCAAAGAATGATTCTGTGTTTGAATCAAATAATTTAGATAATTCAATAGCCTTTGTGCCTATTTCTTCTATTAAACAGTATTTATTGCGGAATGGTATGTTATTCACCGAAGGTCACTCCTGTATTTCAATTAAATGCCCAATCTGTGAAAATGGTGAATCCCATATGTATATCAATAAAGTTTCAGGTAGTTAAATAATGAATTGTATTTCATTAAGGTAATATATAAATTAATTTGAACTTATCTATCCATTCATTTTAGGTTTTTTTATCTGCAGTAATTGTCAGAAATCTGGACCTTGGAACCTACTAGAATTGTTTCTTTCTAATCCTAAACATTATCTTGCTGAGTTACCATTAGATCAGACTATGGATTATGGTAAACGTTGCTGGGAGTCTGTTAAAGATAACTTGCAACCAGTCAATGAAGCAGTATTTAATTTTCCTCATTTTAAAGACTGGAAGGTATGTTCCCATCTTTATACTTTGATTATGACATTATATGTTGTGGTTTTATTTTTATTTTTATTTTTAGAGATTATTATTAGAATATCTCCAAAAACTTAATGTTAGAATATATCCAGAAGAGAAAACTGTTTATTTTCCTCTCACTCATGGACGTAATGTGGTAGGGTTCAAAAAACTCAATTGTGATCTTACAGAGGAAACTTTTCCTGACAAGTCAGCCAAAGGCATTATTCAACTCAAAAGAGACTACGATACAGCTGTAATTGTGGCCAATATTAAAGATTTTCTGACGCTTTTAACATATCCTCTCGAGTCTGATGTAATATGCCTACCTAATGGTATGTAATCGTTGTTTTTACTATCTATATTGATTATTATGTTAGCTTATTAAACATTATTTCAGGTCAGCAGAGTTTACCTCAAGATATTTTACCTTTATTTGAAACATACCAAAAATTAATATTATGGTTTGATAATGATGTGGTTTCTTGGGGCAATGTTAAAATGTTCGCAAAAAAGTTATCCGAGTCAAGATGTCATTTTATTAGGTAGGATTTTTAAGATTTAAAATGGCTTTTAAATGAATACTTTTGAAAATATTATTATTATGGTGACTGTCTAGGCCTTTGGATAATCAGCCCGCTGCCTACGAAAGTATGATGTTTGGATACGATATTGCTTCAATTATTGAAAATGCTCAACGTATTTCTCATAGTTCTATTGTCACATTTGCTACCCTTCGAGAAGATGTTTTAGCAGAGATATGTAATGCTGACAAGGTTATTTTATTTTAATTTGCTGAAATTGAAATTCATTTCAAATAATATTTGTGACTATAAGATTTTTATTAGATTTTCATCATTAATGAGATACAGAAGACTTGTTAAGTCATTCAAACCTACGTTCTTATTCAATATTTAGGCATTAGAAACAGTGAAATTATCTCTTTCTTTTCCCTAATTAAAATTAAACTATTATTTATTTTGTTTCATCCTCAAATTACTGACAATCCATTAATGAGAATTTTATATTGAATACATTTTTAAAAATGGTATTGATTATATTATGTTCTTAATATACAAATGTTCTTATCAGGTGTCAGGAGTCAAATGGGAGAGGTTTCCTGTTCTTAATTCAATATTGAAAGGTCATCGTCGGGGTGAATTAACCATTCTTACAGGTCCTACAGGTTCAGGCAAGACTACATTGATGAGTGAATACTCTTTAGATTTGGCCATGAATAAGGTAATTAAAATCAATTTGCAATAAGTGAATTTTGGTTCCTGGGACAGTTTGTCTGAAAATTGAAATATTTGCTAAGATTGGCATAACCTTCTTTGTAGACTGGTACAGCCTGACAATGAATCACAGTGGGATTTACTGCATTGCTAATGTGGCTCCGTAAAGGTTTTCCACCTTAAGTAGGAATGAAAAGCTTAGTTTGATGTACAGGTTACGGAGGTAAATCTTATCAACATATAAAGACATCAACATATACAACATAAAATGTAGTGTAAATATAATAGAATGTAGTTTGTATTGGCAATGATTAGTATGAAACAAGTTTCCAAAAACCTCGAGTTATTTTTTTCCTATTAGTCCTAGTTTAGCATTTACTTCTGAAGTTTATTGTCATTATTAGGCTGCTACTCCACTTCAATTGCTTTCTCACTACCTAAGATAGAAAGTTTGTTCTTCAAACTGGAGGTTAAACAAATGTTTGTGCTCAGAATTTCTAGAAAATTTTCACTTGTGTTGTATGTTTAGACATTGTGTATGTTGTATGTTGTATGTGTTGTAAACATTGTGGCACAAATTTGGTTCAGTGTCTATAGTGAAATCAATCACCTTCTATCGCTAATCCTATTTGGATGAATTTTTTAGGGATTGTGCGAGTTGGTACCTAGAAGGCCCAATATTAATTTCATCAAATTAACCAATGCATATTTTCTTATACATGCCTTCGTTTTATTCACAGTTAGAGAAGATTTTGGATTTAGGAAAAAATTATACTGTATCAATTTTATTGAATTCTATTTATTGTGCATATCTTTATTACAGCTCTATTTCAGAAACAGATCTTTCAATTTGGCCAGAAGTTTTAGAGATTGATGAAAAAATAATTGATTATTGGTCTGAGAACTCAGGAAGTGTTAGCACTAATTTTATTTAGTTTTTAAAGATTTATTTAATATTATTGCTTCCTCAATACCAAAGTTAGGGAAGCTTTGTATTGGTGTAAAACGTTAAAAAAATGTTTGTGCTCAAAATCGAAAATTTCCCCTCACATTATCAAATATCAACTTTAGTTCAGTGTCTTTCTGTCTGTAATCAAATTGATGTAACAGGCATATCACCTACTACCGGTTATCCGATTTACATGAAATTTTAAGAGATTGTGTGCAATGTCATTGCCTTGATTCGTTAGATTTTATATACTTTTTCAAACTTAAAATAATTTTAAAAGTTTATATTTAATTAGGAAATTTCATTTAATTTCCTTGGAAACATGTTATATACATTAAATAATATTAGTTTTCAGAAATTAGGATTTATATTTTTTTCGTCACTCTCCGTTACCTTTAACGACCATCTTTATTGGATATTGTTTTTTCTAAACTACTCAATTTTCCACTGAGATATTATACCTTTTTCGACCTAAATAAGCATTTCTCCTTTTTTCTTCTTTATTCAATTATCAAATTCTTCCAAATGTTATATTTAGCCTTTTTTAATTACTGCCAACAATGAGAGATAGTTAATTATTTAAAATATAAAATATTAAAGGTACTAACTATATTTAGAGGTAGAAATTTTGAACATTGGCTGTTTAGGCCCTGTTAATCAACATTAATGGGGATAAGACTTAAATGATATTAAAGATTATTTAATGTAATAATGTGTAAAATCTATGATAAAAAGTGGCACTTCGGTTAGTCAACACAGTTTGATAACCACTTTATTTGTCAGCTCAACAGGTGCTTGAAGCTGCCATTGGCCCTCTCAACTGCCCTTTCCCAATCATTTCGGTCAGCAGCATGTCTGCTGGATACTCCCAACATCATCAACTCCTCAGCCACTGAATTTTACGGAGTCCTCGCTCTTCGCTCTTCCACGTGGCCTGTCTCCATCCAGGGTTCTATAATATAATTTCCTCACGGCTCTATCTTCATCCATTCTGATAATGTGTCCCAGCAATTTTAAGCACTGAAATAACACGAAATGAAAAATTCAGAGATCGCTGAATAAGTCGTAGATCTCTTTGTTCTTTCTTAAACGACATGTACCATTCTCTCTCACTGGCCCAATGATGCGCCTCAATACTTTTCTTTCAAAATTGTCAATCTTTTTAACCAGGCTTTTGAGTAGGGTTTAGGTTACACTGGCATAGTTTAAGTACAGGTCGGATGATTGTTTTGTATATAATCATTTTGGTACCCCGACTTAGGGGCTTACTTTGGAGGAAACTTCTTAGGGCGAAAAATGCTTTGTTAGCCCCCATTACACAATTTTGAATTTCTTCTTCTTCTCCCACCTGATTATTAATGATGGAGCCGAGGTACTCAAAAGTGGACACGCATTGAAAGGTATATTGTACCGCTACAAAAATGCTTAGATGGATATCTACATCATCAGCATATCCAAGCATTTGAGTTATTTTACTAAAAATGGTGCCTGACTGATTAACCTCTGCTCTGTTCACCACAACTTAAAGGGCACTGTTAAATAGAAGTAGAGAAAGAGGGTCATCCTACCTAACTCTTGACTTCACTGCGACAGATTGGCCCAGGTTCCCATTTATTTTCACTCAATTCTCGCTCTCATTCGAAGTACACGATTGCTAGGTAGAGGTCTTTCCTGATAATGGAATCATAAACTGCTTTAAAATCAATGAAAAGGATCCAGGATAATTTTGGAAAAAAAAAAATACCAACAAAAAGTGTATTTAGCCAGTTATATTTATTATCATACATGGAAAAACAGGAAATAAAAGCTTTGAAACAATTAATCGTAGTATTTTTTGCTGAAAACACAGGTACTTTTTTATTGGTTTAAAAGTCATTTTATTTTTTTACTCAACTTGGGGTAAATCTCAAGTTTTTCCTCTAATAAACTTCAACTTAACTAATATGGGCTTAAAGTGGATCTGTTGAGGATGATTAATGTTTAAATATGCAAGTTTTCCACTAGTTGGCTCAAGTTTTACATATCAAAAAAACATGTCTTTATCATTCAAATAAAAATGTCATTTAACATTCTCAAGTCTAGCGATGCTGGCTCGAATGTGAACTGGGTGAGTTGAAATTTATTTCATGGTGGACCCACAAAATGAATCTTGAACTTCCCGCTCTGGTTAGAATAGATTTGGTAGTACCTCTAGAACAACTACTCCCCTCCCCCACGTACGCCAGAAATGGCGACGTAGGAAGTAATCGAAAAAAAAAAATGTGTAATGTCATATGGAATATGTAAATGTAAGACTGGTTCTGTCTATTAGGGATATGCATCTTTTGACGTGGATAAAAACTAAATAACACTGTATGCATCATACTTATGGATTGAGTGATAATATACTGGAGGACCTACGTTAAATTCTGACAGGAAAGCCGTTCATTGTACTGTTGTAAACATAGATATTTTGAAAGATGATCATTAAATTGTTATTTATTTGTAATCAGTTTTCTATTTATTTAATTATACCCAGAATGTTTCTTTTTTATATTAAATTTCGCAATAACTAATTGATGGATTTTGAAATTTTTAGAAATGGAACTGGTCTTGAGCTATAATTTTTTTCAATGAAATTTAAAAAAAATTATTAATGGAAAAAAATTTTTTTGCTTTCTTTAATATCTCTAGACATTTACAATTTACTTGTTTTCTCCTTTAGGTCACAACTTTGTGGGGTAGTTTTGAAATTAGAAATCAAAGATTAGCCAAAACAATGTTAACTCAAATGTTTTTGGAACCCTTGGAAAAAAATATTAATAAGTTCAATGAGTGGGCTGATAAATTTGAGAGATTGCCAGTTTATTTTATGACTTTCCATGGTCAGCAGCCATTGGATGTTGTTATGGAGGTAGGTAATCCATTGTTTTTATTAATGAAGAAAATTCATATAAACCCGATCTTTACAAATTTTTTAATATAAATTAATTTTTATTTTCACAAAGTCTTAATCTTTTTCTAGGCTGTTGAACATGCTACGTATGTTCATGATGTTGCTCATGTGATTATAGACAATGTGCAATTTATGCTCGGGATGTCCTCCTCTGAATCTGGTTTTCTTGACAGGTAATACAATATTTGTATGTTGACATGAATTCTATTTTAAACTCTAAAATTATTAAATGGATATTTAGTTTTCTTGATATGCTAATGATACTTAATGTTTGTTTAAACTTCAAACTTTAAAAATTAAATAAATATTGAGGTTATAAGTATTAAGGTTAATAAATATTAACTCACAATGACTGTTGTGGGTAAATAAATACTATAATTTTTATTTATCTTATTTCAGTGCTATAACAATATATATATATATATATATATATATATATATATATATATATATATATATATGAAATCACTACTTTTAATTTAATTTACCTTGATATTTAAAGGTTCTATCGACAAGATGCATTGATTGCAAGATTCAGAAATTTCGCTACTACTCATAACTGTCATGTGACCCTGGTAATACATCCAAGGAAAGAAAGGGAAGCGGAAGAACTTACAGCTAACTCTATATTTGGTGGAGCTAAAGCAGCCCAAGAAGCAGATAATATTTTAATTATTCAACATCGTAAAAGCCACACTACATTAAGAATTAAAAAGTTTTTACAGGTTAGCCACCGACTGCTAAACATTTTTATTATTTCTATCTATTTAATTTTTCCTAAAACTTCTACTGTTATTTTCTATAGAATATATTGGAAAATAAGTTACAATTAAGTCTCTAAATTTTTTTTTAAATGTGGGGAGGCTTTTTGATCACAGATTAAGGGCAAAACAATATTTTTTATATCCAATTCACTTTTTATAATTGAAATTTGAATATTGAAAGGAACATGGTTTGTAGATTGAAGCCCATCCAGATAACGATGACTTATAATACACAAAGTTTCATCTCTTTGAAACATTTCACCCTTGAAGGGGCATTAAAAAAAAAAAATACTTCTACCAGCAGTCCTCCACTTGAATACAAAATGGCAGCCAATCATATATGGAAGTTTTGGATTTTTTCAGTTATTAACTTAAACTTTATTGTGCTTCTAGCAGTTGACAGTGCATTCTAGCAAAGTCCTTTTTATTTCAAGCATTAGAAATCAAGAATTTGTTGACTTTTCTTCTTTTTTATCTAACCTCATTCATTTCAATTATCTGTGAGATTGATAATTATCCTTCAACCATGGAATTGATTTATTCCTTGTATACAAAGCTCATGAAATTCACACATAAACATTATTTGTTAAAATAAATGGATTAATATTAATTTTTAGGGTCAGAATCTGAAGAACTTTATCTACTAAGGAATAGATCATAAAATTAAATTTTTAAATATAAAACAAATCTTACATCACTTATTAAAAATAGTATATAGTAAACAATAGTATTTGTAGGGTATAAATATTTTTAAACATGAAAAATATAAATAAACATGGTAGAACTATAATGTTGAAAAAAATTAGAATTTTAGAATAACATTACTTAAATAAATATTTATATGTTTATAATCATTGAAATAATATTTGCTAAATTTCTTGAAAATATTATTTCAGAATTCATTAAAAATTTTTAATAAATCTGAATTATTTATAAAGTCATTTATAAAATTGTTAATGTCTCTTTCGTTAAAAATGAAAATATAATGAAATTTTCCATTTTCCACAGAATTGATAGTTAATAATTTACTTTTTAAAATTAAAAATGGATTTAATATAAACCCTCCCATACTATATCGTCAGGGATTTAGTAATGGAATGGAGCCCTTTTCATATTATTAAATAATTTAAACCATGAGAATTGTCCATATTATATATTCTTGTAGACTGTACAACATTAAATTAGATAAATACTGTATGAGGATTTCTAGTATTTTTAAGGATTTTAAGTATTTTTAGAAACAAAAACTGAATCAAATGAAATCCTACTTGTAAACAGCAAATTTTTCTGTGGATCAAATTGATTACTTCCTCGTACTCAAAATGCTTTCTTAATTCATCGGAGGTTTTAAAGTCTGAAGTTGTGGATATATCCATAGTGCAGGTTTTTTTCTATTGTAATGACGAAAAATAAGCCCTTAAATAATATAAATTGCCTTAAATGTTGGTTGATTTGAATGCTCGAATATATGTACGAATAAATCCCTAACCATCCCTTTAAAAAAACTCTAGGATTCACTAGATCCTGTTAAATAAAAATTTCCCTTTTCCTAAGAATCACTCATAAAGTTATTGAACTGTATAATAAACATTTTTTTTTAAACTATCGTTTATTTACATATTTTTATAGTTGGGGAAATGCTTCATAACTTAAAAAATAACAATGATTTTTAAAAGTTCAAAATAAAATTTATTTGTCATGCTTTGAAGATGCTATGTTAATTTTTACATTATTTTATCACCTGAATTTTATTATAAAAAAAAAATTAAAAATAATAAATGACCCAAGGTAAAATTACTATAGTTGTACTGTACCTTGGGCCATTCTATAGAGTATTCGATATACCATACCTTGGGCAATATTTGTTGTAATTATAATTATAATTATTATTCAATATTAGCTTAAGTATCAATTATCTACACTGGCAAGCTATCATTTTCATGTCATTTGTTTAAAGCCCACAGTATATTACGCTTATCTTCAATAAATAATCTTTTATAAACTTCTTCGGTAAAAACCATGAATTAAGGATTTATTCTCACAAGAAATATATTTTGAAATTATATTAATTTTTTAGCGAAGTCCTAATGTATTTTGTTTAGAACTTGAATTAAAAAGAAGCTGTTACATCAATCGACTAATAATTTTGAGTATGTTTGTGTACTTTTTTTAATAAAAATTATTATTTCAAGTAAACAAAAATTACTTTTCCAACTCTAAAACACTCTTATCAATATTGTTAAAAAAACGAAGTGGATCAGAGGCATCAAAATCAGCTACAAAGTGTCCTGACACTGCAGCCTACTCAATTTTGCCACAAATCTTGAATTTCCCCTGGTCGATTTTCTTATTCTTATGGTGGCCCAAGGTACACGTTTTCCCCCTAGATCATGTCATAATAATTATTACCTACTTGTGGTTATGATTATCTTACATATGTTATAATGGTTGTGTGATTGCTTATTTAGTAGGCAGAAATCTATTTTATACAGTTGGAAAAACATATATAAGATATAAAATATGTAAAAAAACTAAATTAAAGTCATTCAAGTTAATTAAACATAATATTGACATCCATGCTGCAAAAGCCTTTAAGGAAAATTTCTATGGAAAATGAAGTTTTGAGCTTTTCTGGTCAATCTTGTCCTGACGCATATGCTGATCTCACAAAATGAAATCTACGACCTTTTGTAAAAACATGTAATTAAAAAATAGCAAATTGTAATGTAATAACTGTAAGTTACAGTGAAGGTTATACTGATTGTGTCATTACCGAAAAAAGTAATGAAATGTGATCATGTAAATAAAAAATGTATACTTTGCGCATAGACTATAGTTTCAATTAGCTGTATTAATAGGCTTAAATTAACTTTTCTCATACGGTTTGAATTATTTTTATAAGAATGGCGAGCACTTCCAGTCCGGCATCTCTGGGCAAATGCCCGGGTACCCTGCTCTGAGGTCGGCACTGCTTACCATGGAACTAGACAAAGCAATGAAGAGAATGGTAAGTGGGAATACAATATTAAAGGGCCTTTAAAACAATCGAAACCTCTTGGACATTGCAAAATGAGCTTGACTGGAAAAAAGCTCCTATGCTGCCGAATCCCAAATAGTGAGAGACAGATAATTGATTTCATTAATTGGAAAATTAAATACGAGACAAAAAAAGAACTATTTTCATCTTTTCAAACCAATGAATCTTCGCAATCGCAAGAAGATCAGAAATGAAGTGATCTACACATCAGCAGGTTATCTAGATCTTATCTCATGATTCAAATCATGAAGTTGAGTAAATTAAAAATGAATCTTTCATTGACTAACACGTGTGATCAACAAATACTCCCTTTCCAGGCAAGTTGTTTTCAAATTTTCATTTGAAGTATTGTTTCTCTTCCTTTTGGAAACTGACTAAGTTCCAGCCATACTTTGATCATTATTAACAAAGTTATGGGTGTTACTATAGTAAATTTGATTAATTTTACCTATGTAAATGTTTTTCAAAGTAACTAAAAAAACTATAAGTTAGAAGTAATGGCTCTAAAAGATTATTTGGCAGAAATAGGATAAAAAAAGTTATATAGAGTCACTTTTACATCTTTATATAGAGTTACTTTTTCATCTTTGTCTTAGGCCTGTAAAAAAAATTTAAACAAGTTTTTTGTCTCCTGAAAAATTTTAGTTTTTTTCTTGTTGGCTTTTGCACTGTGGCTGTTGTTATTATGTATAAACAAAAAAAAAAAAAAACATTAAATATCTTTCAATTGAATAAATGATTTATTAATTATTAAGGAAAAGTTTGCCATTGTTTATTTGTTGATTACTTGTTTAGTTATAGTAAATAAATACTATTGTTCTGAGTATGTGTTTAGTCTGTTTGTGTGTGTACTGTTTTAGTAAGTTCTTATCGTTGTTTCCTATTCGAATCATAGAATTATCATACACTGCTGCAAGGTAAAATCTTTGTAAAAAAATGTGCTATGAACAAATGATACAAAAGATTATCAAATCTGAACTAAGCTTTTACATCTGAGCGTTAGATGTGATGGTAATAAAGTCTAAGCCAGATAAGTCATCTGGAGTTTGATTTTAATGTGGTTAAATAGAAAAAACTATGTAGACAATGAATCCCCTTTGATTGTGTGAGAATCATATTTCTGGATTTACTATGTATTATTGCTATTATTATTACTGTTATTAAATTTATAATCTACTGGTTCTATTTCAGGTTGCTAAGAATAGATTCAGTGGTGATTTGGGCATTATGCCCCTTGAATTTGACAAAGAATCTTTGAGCTTTAGAAGCAAAAAAGGATAATAATGTACTTAAGAAAACAATTTTAACAATTTATAATTAATGCATATAATCAAAATTCAACAAAATGTGATATTAGGATATTCTATAAATTATTGTAAGAAACTTTGTTATAATTTTTTTATCTTCAAGAATGTAAATAATTTTTATATCATCATCAATATAAACATTTAACTACTACAAGTTTGTTTATTTCTATCCAAAGATGTACAACCCTTAGATCACCAATGTTTATGATTTGTGTTTATAATTTTTAATGATGTTAAAAATCCCATGTTAATAAAAAAAATTAAATAAGTAATTAAGAAATAGATCAAAAAAATAAAATGCCTTTTTTTAAGAAGTATTTATTAAGAGATAGTATTCTATAAGAAGCATAGCTATAATTTTTAAAAACAATTCTGGTAAATTCCCTGTCTTGAAACAGGGATAATCAGGAAAAGTCAGAGATTTTCATCTAAATCAGAAAGTCAGAGAAAGTTCCAACAATTTTTGTCAATAAATAAAATGTAAAAACCTACTAAGTAAAAATGAAATACTTAATATAATTTAAAAAAGTAGGTACCAAAACTTTTTTTTTTTACAACAATGTGCCCTCGTGATTTAGTATCTAATCAAATTTGCTGACAAACCGTTGAATGTTTTCCAGGCTCTAGGCCTATGCTTAGTTTTTCTCATTCTCAGCTCTCTGGAAATTATAATAATTGTTTCATTCCATTCAGGACTGTTTTTACAATTTTCAACTTGAAATAAAATGCACAAGTATCAACACAATTACAATCACTATTCTGAAATATAGCAATTTTAATTTAATCTCTCAATTACCAAATCCCTTATTTGAAAAAATAGCTATAGTTATATGCTATGAAGGTTTTGTTTGCTTCCTCCTTGTGAAATTGATTAAAATAAAGATTTTATTGAAATTATTGACTTAATTGTCTTTGTGACTTCCAATATATACTTATAGAGAAAGTGAATATGAATAATAATTATATTGAATAATAATATGAATAACATTTTCTTGGATAATATCATTTTTCCTGGATCTCATTATAAACATTAAGCCTATGGGGATCCAATAATCCTTTCACAGAATTTATTCATTACTAATGTATTTTTCCTGACTCTCTTTCCACCTTCTCAGGTTATTTAGTTAGGACATCAATGTTTTTAATTCAGTCTTCATGATAATCAATCTATTAATAAATATTTTTGAATATTGTAACAAAATATTTTTATTACGTTTAATTTTTTTTTTTTTTTTTTTCACTTTCTTAGTTCACTCGCTTAGGGAAGCATAGGGAGACATAGGGAATTTTATTTATATAGAGTCAGGAAATTCAACTGTAAAGCTCTTATAGACACCCTAATTAAAATAGAGATCTAATGTTATTTCATTTTTATTGTTTATTAGAGGATTTGGATGTATTAGGTTTTCTTTATTTATTAAGGTATCAGTTGAATTTTATTTAAATCTGAGATATAATATGAGCATTCTTCTTGAATATCTTTGATAGGAATATAAATAAAGAATAGTATTACTATAGTGATATTGTGATGCGGGGTATTTTGTGACACATTAGGAAGGTATAAAGCTTTTGTGTCCTAAATTACATAGGCTATAAATATTGAACCATAAGCGAGTGATTCCTTTATTTTATATATAAATATTTCTATCATAATAGTACTTAAGGTTGCTGAAGTTTTATATATTTTTATTTATTACTATGCTAAAAAGTTATTGAAATTATTTGTGATGTGAATTAGGTACATAAGGCTTTTATTTTGATTAGGCACAAATAAAATTCTTAAGGTACTGATACAAGATGGAGTAGGGCTGGCACTGGAAGAGTCAGTAAGGTTTAATTATATATATATGTTATCCTAAAGTTATATGTATTATAGGGATCAGAGAACTAACATATGTAGAAGAAAGACCAATAAAAAACTGCTTGCAGAAACAGGTCAATCAATATCCCTTAATATGAAGGCACGGAGCTAAGATGGGTGGGGCATGTACGTAGAAATCCATCTGGAAGCCTTTACGTAACAATGAATGCCTCAACAGCAGGCAAAAGATCACGTGGAAGGATAAAACCAGATGGATAGATAGAATTGTAAAGGCAGAGATGGAGCATGCTTATTAAGGCGGCAAAAGATCTACATGGTTTGTAATGCCAACAGAAAAAAAAATCTCAGAGTATGTTAATTTGATAATTTTGAACAAACTTTTGTAGCATAATTAAGTCATAACAATAAGAAAAGATATGTCCTATTATTACTCTCTTTTATACATTATGTAGTAATAAAATGGGGATTGGGATAGGATGTTTCTGTATATCCTACTACTTAATAATTTTTATGACTAATTTTTTTTTTTTCGTTAACAATATGGAGTGTAAGAAATAAATAAGTTGTTGTCAGTGCTTCAAAGAAAGTATGGCGAGTAAAGAAAGTGTCTTACAAGGAACACAATGATAAGCAATTTTTAGAAATATGGGGAGGTGGGGAGGAGGGATGCATAGTAGAGGGGTCTGGCCCACCGTGTATTATATACAAGGTCTGAGAGTTGAAATTTAAAATTATAATTTAATTGTAATTCACTGACACTTATAAATCCAGTCCATAGTAATCACTAAGAAGTTGAATTAAAATAAAATAAATAATAGCTAAATAGTAGTATATATTTGTTTTGTCCACATTTATAAAGGTATAGTAATCTGATAATTACAATAACAATAGGTAAACTATCTTACTTTTACAACTTATAATTTATGCTATGCACATACAATCTCTGTATGCAATAAAATATATATCTGTAAAAAATGTTTATAAACAACAATTTAAAGTACTTGTGTTCTCTCACAAGTTTTCTCTCTTTTTTTATCGTTTATTTTTACAATTTTTTTTTACAAATGTCAAAAATTTTCTCTCTTAATATCAATGATTCATTTATTAAAATACATCCACATTTTGTTTATAAATTTTGGTTAAAAAATTATCATTATTTTGCACTTTTTTTTGTTGTTATAAGTCTGAATTTAGCTATATAAATGAAAAAATTTTAAAATCCTAGATTTGGCATGTTTGTACATTGGCAATATATTTTAGAATATAATTAATAGTTTCCCAAATGATTGTTCAATATATAGAACTTTTAATATTTTTAACATTTTTTTTTTATTATTTTAAAAAATTATACAATAAAAAAGATTGTGCAACATAATATCATGTTGTATATTAAAATTACAAAACTATATATACAATATTAAAAAAGATATGTTAATCTATAAAAAAAAAAATTTCTTTAATTTTAATAATTATAAATTCTAAGAAGTTTTGGCAGTGTAAAATGACGTAATACTATGTATTTATAATTAAACTGCCTTTTATAAAAAATCCTTAGCATTGTAAAGTCAGACTTACAACTTTTAATAAGAAGTATTATAAAACAACAGAAACATAAAAAAAAATTATAAATATATATACACATACATACATATATATATTTATTTATTTAATAAACATTACAAGAAATAACTTATATACTCTGATATATACAATATAATTTATAAAATACTGTAAATTTTACGAAGAAACATTAATGAGATTTAATCCGTTACATAATTACTTTGTTATTTCATAATATAATTTTTTTTCTTGAATACGGAGATGAAGAGCTTGGGGTAAATTGTTCCTATGAGGCCTATACAGCTATAGAATAGTCAGACTGTTGTCCATGCGGACTAGGGCGAGACCAGAGACTTGACCTGATCCCAAGTTTGAGCTTCTTTACTGTGTCTATGTCACACTCAGCTTCACTTAGCTCAGTGCTGCGTTCAGGAGTTGACCTGAACGCTGTCTCTGCTATTGACAGCGACTGCCGCATCGGCTTGCTCCCTGGTGCCAACCACCTGTTCAATTATCATTAAATAAAATAAAATAAATATATAAGTTTAATTAAAAAGTAAGAACTTCTACTACTAATCACTAGTGCCTCCCATATTTTTTTCTGTAATTGTTAACTCTTAGTAATAACGTTCAACATGGGGAGAAGGGGGAGCAAACTTTTTTCTGTTTCAGGACACAATCATGGTTTTATGAACTTTGATGGACTAACACTTAACTCCTCCCCCCCTTCCAGATTTCCAGATACATTCACATCTATCTTTAAAATGACAATTTACTCATGGAACAACTATTATTTTCTACTCATATTATTCATAGAATGTTAAATGGGACATAAGAGTCCAACAAGGGTATGGGTTGGGCAGAGATCATTACCTACTTAAGCTGGACGTTCTTATCAGGAGGGGCTCAATACTCAAGAAAAAGGCATATGCAAGATGGGTTCAAAATCGAAGCATATAAACTCAGAGAAAAGGATGTTGCCCTTTTCTTCCTGGAGGAAATAGAAGATATGATGGGTAAAGGAAAATATCTGGGACAGCAATGATTTGGAAACGTCATGGAAAGCCTTAAAATCTACACTGGTGACAGCATCAAGAAATGTTTGTTGTAAGAGCAGGATAAAGGAGCACAATAGAAGAACACTATGGTGGGATGACCAGGTTAAAAATGCAGCTAAGAAAAAAAAAGAGCTCTGCAAGAAATACATAGCCAGTGGATAACAGGATAATTACCAGGTCTGCAAGAGGCAGAGAAAAATGTTGAAATCAATGGTAACCCAAGCCAAAAAAAACTCCTGGGAGAAATTCGGAGAGGAGATGGATAATCCAACTTATTGGAAGAAAACTTAAGCGGCAACAAAAAGATGTTCTATAAGACCTTGAAGTACCTCAGGAAGTTTATATTTGAATATACTGAAGTTTATAAAAGACAAGAATGGTACAATCAGAAAGGTACTTGTCAGATCCAGAAAAGGTCATGGAACGGTGGGAAGAATATTTCAGTGAGCTGCTAGAACCAGACATAAGGTGAAATGAGGAAGAACAGCAACCTGGAAACACATTTACTGAGGATGAAGCTCTGAAAGAGAATGATTATTTGGATTAAGATGAAATTTTAGAAACTGTAGCCATGCTTAAGATGGGAAAGGCAGCAGGAAATGATGCTTAACACAAATGATGATCAAGAAACTAGATAGCCAAGGAATGAAAATGCTGCAGCACCTTTTCAATCTGGCATTATAGAAAAAAAAGATTTCAGAAAACAGGGTAGTCTCTGTAATTGTTCCTGTATTTAAAAGAGGAGACAATGGGGAATGCAAAAATTATGGAGGAATCTCACTTTTGAACATTGTAAAGTTTATTAAAAAATTTTAGAAAAAAGATTGTGAAACATTATGGAACCCCTGCTATGAGAAGATAAATACGGGTTCCGGGAAAATATGAGCACCCAGGATCTTATATTTACGATCAGGCAGGCTCCAGAGAAGCTCATGAATAAGGACAAAGAAGCCTATATTTGCTTTGTCGATCTGATCAAAACTTTAAACAGAGTTAATGTCCAAGATGTACAAAAGGCATTAAGAGAAAAAGATGGGACACTTGGATTCTGGAAAGCATTACTAAACCTCTTTGCTAAATGCAGAAACTTTGTTAGAACCTGCAATAACAGTGTTCCAGCCAGGAATCTGGATTTCTGGAGCAATTGGAGATGGAGAAGGAGAAGGGAGCTGGGACAGAGCCGAGCACAGTAGATAAAGTTCTACAGAAGGACCATAACACTGCCCTATAAAGTGGGAACCCTTAATTAAATAATTGATTAAGGGGGAAAACCTGGCGGTTGAGTGTGATCTCGGTCAAATCACCTCCTTGCACAACTGTTGACCTAGAAACAGTGCTTTTCCTAAATAGTACTGAACCCAAGACCCTTCATGGGTTGCAGTGGTACAGGTTTTTATTAGAAGCTTAAAATGCCTCAATGGCTCTTAAAAAAATCTTAAAATGTACAGAATTTACGACCTAGGTCTGACCCACATGACTTGATGGAGGCCCTAAGCCCAGCACTGGATTGTATTTGCAAAATTTTGCTTCAAAATCCAAAGGATGAAAGGTTCTGGAAAAAATGATCTCAAGTGATGAAAAGTGGATATTTTAAAAAACCCTATCAAACAAAAGCAGTATGGTCAGATGAAGCTACAAAACAGCAAGTTTGCCATGATTGGTTTGGAACAAAAGTGATGCTTTGTTTTTGGTGGAACTTCGAAGGTGTTTTGCACTTTGAGCATGTCCTGATGGTCAGGCAGTGAACTCAAACCATTTTACTGTGAACAGCTAGACAGAGTTTATGCAGTTTTGAGTTTGAAGTACCCAACTTTGGTTTACAGGAACCAAGCCATTTTGCAACACGACAATGCCTTTGTACATTGTTCTCGTTTGCCCAAGGAAAAAATATTGGAACTGCAAGCAGCAAACGTTTTGTCTCATCCTGCCTATTCCCATTATATTGAACCATCATTTTATGATATGTTTAGATCAATGGTTCATTTTTTAAAAGGTCGGGTCTTTGATAATTACAAGAACATAAAAATTTGATGTGAAGAGTTCTTTACATCAAATTCAAAGAAGTGTTACTGGCATTTATTGTAATGTTATTGATAAGGATATCACAAAGTATTTTTCTACCTCAATATCAGCAAATCTGATCGAAGTTGACATGAAAGTTTCATAATTTTGTAATTTTCATATTCAGGATCTGCTTCAGTTAGACCAGTATATGCTTACATGCAAGGAAAATGTGACAGCTGGTTTTCAGAAATATCTGTCATAAAAGTTAGCTTGCCACATATAATTGATGTATTAATAAATGATTTAATTTGCCTTGTAATCGAGTATTCAATAGGTTGAGATGCACAGTCGTGTCACAAAGAAAAGTGAGATCAAAGAGATATTCATTATATTCAAAGAGTGGTGTGATTTGAGGGAGTTCTTAATTTTCTTTCAGATAAATTGAGACATCATTGTGGAGTTTCTTGATCCTTTCCAAAAAATTTCCTCTTGAAAGCTAATGAACATCAAAGTAGAGAACTAGTTTGTTTGGGCTTTAAGGTGTAAAATCCTAAGGTCGTCAAGGCCTGTGAGTCAGTTATTTTTGTTGTATGTTGAATTAAGTAACTATTTGAAGAGAGAAAAAAAAATCAAAAACTAATAATAAATAAATAGAATAATATAGAGAGCTAGTTTATTGTATATAGAGAAATATTCCTCAATGTCTAATTTGATTATTTCCCAAAATTTCCTGCTATTAAGGGCTTGAACCCACAATTTTTTAATGCAATTCACTACTGGTTGTTGGAAAGAAGATAATTTTAGTTTCTTAGCACAAAGCAATTAGTGGTGAATGATGCAGTTCTTTGTTTTTATGACATGGCAGGAGCAAACATTGATTGATTTTTCCTTCATCAATGATTTTTAGCTCTTCAAGTGCATTCACTCCTGTACTCATTGTTTATAGTCCCCAGAGATTAATCTTGACTTATATTCTTAGTACTTTTCTTAACCTGATAAATATATTGTTGTGAGATATACATTTGTTTAAAAGATGTAAATTTATTGTTGTGTTTTTTTCTAAAAGCATTTAAAATTTGTATTTGCTGTCAGCTCTAATAAATTAAGGTTCAGTACGATAAGGCAAGCTTTGTTGTTCAGTTATTTTCTGGCCTTTATTCAGTATGGCCAGTTTTATGAGAGTATATTTCAATGATCAGCCAGCCCATTTGCAGTCTACAACAGTATTTATACCAGTAATAACAGTCTTTAGTCAGCCTTTGACCAGTACAATTCTTTTCTGTCTTTCGTCATCAGGATATCATCTCATAACATACTATTTCTATTTTTTTTATTTATTTTTTTTTTTATGAATGAACAGGGAAATCAGCGTAAAAGTCAACATGTTTCATGATATCTAACCATACATATAATTTTAATTATAAATATATATTTTTATTTGTTGTTCTTTCATTTATTGAATCTCAGATCATTCGTTGAGACCAACGGTAACTGTAAGCCCTCAGTTAAAATGTTTTAAATATTTTTTTTTTTTTTATCAATAAACTAAAACTCTTTTTTTGTTATGGATAAACTAAAACTAACTGGAGAATGAATTTGTTATATTTATATATTTTTTAAATCACAATAATATATATAATTTCTTCAATAGTGTTATATTTATGTACATGCATAATACCTTGTTCTACCTCCACGACGTGGAAGTGATTTTGCTTCAGACATTGGAGAAATATCTGAAGAAGTACTGGAATGAGCTTGGTAAATATAAGCTGTAAAATAGTTTCACAATCAGTATCATGAATTCCAATATAAGATAAATTAACTACAATTTATTTCAAACCAGACCTGGCCGAAAAGTATTTTAAAATACATTATTTACAATACAAAGTATTTTGTTTTTCTAATATACATTTTTAATCATCTAGCATTTCAATTACTATTTACTTTTAAATTAATTCACTCAATTATTTAATTTAATAAGTATTTAAATTTCAAATACAAAATACTTTTTCTGTAAATAATTTAAATATTTGGTGATTAAAATTGTATTTTAAAAACACAAAATACATATTTAAAGCAAAGTATTTTATAATACTTTTTTGCCCTGGTCTGTTTCAAACCTTGTTTTGCTTTTGCTGCATCCAGTTGATTAGAAGATTCAGTTCTGCTTGATGTGATTTGATCTGGATCTGAATCTGATTCATCAGATTCGGCATCTGTTTTTCTACTTCTTCTTCTTCTTCTTCCCTTTGAGGACTAAAATATTTAATTTATTTTAAATATCAAAATTAAATGGTATTTATATTATATATTTATTTATATTGTACTTATATATAATTAATAAATATTATAAGTAAGTTTATTCTTCAAAAACACAGAATATAATAATAACAAAATAAAGCTACTGAATATAATACAAAAACATATCAGTGGTAGTGGCTACAAAGACGGACATCTTTCATTTTCAGAAAGTGGAGAAAAAGTCAATTTTTGTTTTATAAGTTCAACTCGAACTGTTTCTGATGATTTTATTTAAGAATGTTGAAGTTAAATAAAGAAAAAAATCTGGTGTGTCCACTCACATGACTTTCCTACCTATTTCAGAAAAGTATTTATATCTTTACATATGTCCATCAAGAAACAAAAAAAAAATTTAATTATATTTATTTTCCTGAAAATTGATCAAAGAAAAGATTTGAGTACGATTTATTTGATAAACTATAGCAATAAAAATCAGCTTAAGATAGATCAGTATAAAAATTTCAATACCCTCTAATATTATTGATCAAAACTTTTTGCCATAGCCTGATTTTGTAAAACAATAATTTCTGTTATAAGTAGCGGAAATAGTGTGGCTTGTGTGATGGCAACAGATTTTCTTACTTTCACTTACTTATCTTTTTACTCTCATTCATCCCTTACTGATACCAGGATATAAACCCATAATCTTACATTGGAAATTGAATAGCTGTAACTTCGTATAGGGAATTTCATTACCTTAAAAAAAAAACAAGGTAAGCAGTGTTTTTCGGACTCTGAGTTTTATTTATTTTTATTTATTGCGCAGAAGCTATTGCACACAGAGCACCCAATTTGTGTCACAGGCATCAGTAGTCAAAACCCTACAAAATAAAAAAGAAGCAAAAAAATCGGTTCACTAGTTCCCGAGAAATCTTGCCACAAACAGACAGACCAATGGCTAAAAATGTGTTTTTCGAATTCAGGGGCTCTCAAATGTATAGATTTGTCAAAAACCGTGAATCGGAAATTTGACCAAATCGCAATATGTGTAGAAACTAGAATAAGCTGTATCATCGCGAATACTGTTTCGATTCCAATGATTTTTCTTTTTGTTTTATTGGTAATTTAATGACCTTTCAAAAGTTTTATTATAAAGTTTGCCATAGAATGTATACTTAGCAAGTTAGGCCCAAAAAATTTTTCTTTTCTTTATAACTTTTTTTCCTGAATTTCCTTGGGAATTTAGTCCATGTAAGAAAATTGAAAGGACAATTATTAGAACATTATAGAAAAGTTTCATCAAATTCGTTAGAGCCGTTTTCGCCCTATAGTCTATAGAAAAACATGCTTTTCATTTATTGCACAGCAGCTATTGCTTACAGAGCACCCAATTTGTGTCACAGGCATCAGTAGTCAAAACCCTACAAAATGTAAAAAAAGCAACAAAATCGGTTCTCTAGGTCTTGAGAAAATTTTGGCATAGGCAGACAGACCAATGGCTAAAAATGTGAGGCTTTTCAAACTCAAAGAGCTCTGAAATGTATGGATCCGTCGAAAACCGCATATCGGAAATTTGTTCCGATCACAATACTTTCCTTAATTAGTAAAGGTAAGAAAGTAAAAAAAAATATGAGAATTGGTTTAAATTGAAGCTATGTGTACAAAAATTGGCTTTATCTCAAAATGATAGATGTCCCTCTTTGCTATGAAGCCATTCATTTGGTAATTTCAAAAGAGCTACGAACAGGTTAGTAAAAATATAATATTTTTTCTTAGCAAGAATTCATCACAACTGTTTGATCTTGCTCTAATGGTCAAAGGTCAAATTTCACTTGAGTATGTCAGTATAAAAAGAGAATGACTTTTGTAAAGAATTTTCTTTAAATTATTTTATATTTCAATGCTTTACATCAATCCACAACATATCAATAAAATTTCAGGGAATGTATGAAGAATATATTGAACAACTTTCAAAAAAGTTTTTCTCAAAAACAAAGTTTTGTGTTGCAAAGTATTAGTATTCCTGGACCCTTCAAATAAAAATATTTAATTTATCGAGGATAGTAAGTGCTTAGAAAAAAAAATCTTACATGTATTTGGAGTTGTGGTCTCATAGGTGGTGCTGAGGTGCATCCCTCAGCAATCGCTTGCTCATGGTACATAAAACTGTGCAATAATGTGTTGCTTGGCTCAGATAATTGAAAAGTTGCATATGGAGATATGTCTTCAGATGTTTCTGCAATCCCAAACCCTTTCTTAATAACTTTAACAGAATTATATATTTTTAAAAACCTATCTATCAGTTCTCAACTTAATAATTAACGGGTAAATAAAAATAATTACCTTTTTAACTTTAGAGAACTGATCAAGAAAAATAAAATAATTGTTTTCACTATTTAAAGAGAGTATAACTGATTTTCATAACCAATTTATAATTTTGATTTATTTTTTAATAGTCCATTTATTTTTTAAATTGTATTCGAAATCTGAAAAACCTTTTCTTCCGGCCTTATGTGTATAAATGTAAATTTAATACATTATATTTAAGTGAACAATTTGAAATTATGGAAATTGAAATATAAACAGTGGAAATAAAAATGTTGATATAGTTGACTTTGGCTGTTTGGTACAGTAATTATTTTGTCTCAAAAAAGAATTCCTAAACAATTTTTAAAAAATACTCTTCTTCACTCAGAAACCTATTTAGGAATATTGTATTTAAATAATTAACATAGATCTATGTCTGCTATAATTAGACAACTAAGAATGACCAATAAAACATAAATATATCAACAAATAAAAAGAAAGTTTTTATATTAATATTTCTAAATAAAATGTTTTGTGCCTCAGTTCTTAACAGAATTTTAAAGTATTTGTTAGATATATTTAAATATGGACAACATAATACAATAATAATAGTTTGTGAGTTTTTCTCCTTTTAATTTAAAGTTCGTAGTAAAAAAATCATTAATCTTTTGTGTGATCGGTGAAATTGTAGTTTGTTATTAAAAAAAAAATTCTGTGAAGAAGAAATTTTATAAATTATTCATGTAATAAAAAATGAAAGCAAAATTATACTAATTTAAAATAAATGATAAAAAAAAAAAAATAGTTAGTTCTCAAATCTAATAAGAAACACAATAAATTCAGGTTTATAATAAGTAATAAGAAACAGAATAAATTCTCGTTTATAATAAATAATAAGAACCAGAATAAATTCTGGTTTATAATAAATAAAAAGCCCAGGCAATCAAAACCAACCCTACTGACTATAAATGTTATAAAATATTTTGAAGTAAAAAGTAATACGTCACTATTAATGAGATTAAATTTTGATGAGGATCAAGAATAATAAAAATTATGAGAAGAAAAACATTTAATTTGTTGTTATATTTTGATGGTTGACTGTAGGCTAATCAAGAAAGATATAGTTTAATGTTCTAAAGTTTCACTCAACTGTAATAATTTATATATAAGACTGATATTTATGCAGTAGAGAGCAATGAATATATTTATTTTTAGATAGAAATTAATGAAACTAAAGTTAGTTTCTGGGCTATTGGGCCACATCTTATAATGAAGAAAGTGCTTACCTTCTATATTTTCCAAATGTTTTGACCCCATTGTGTGTATCATCTTCAGTTTTACAGCTAGAACAGAATGAAAGAAAAACGAAAAAAAAGGGTTTCTACTTGAATATCATAGTAACCACATCCTTCCCTTTGCTATAAGAATTGACCTGAATGCCCAGAAACATACCTATCTCTACTTTAATAAATAAATAAATTCTCTTGCATATTTTCTTTACAAAGACATGCAAATATGTATAAGAATAAATGTCTTAATCTTAATAGATAGATATTTCTATTATATTTGATTTGTTTTTTTAATGATAAAAAAAAATAATGGCCATTAAAAGCATTTTAATCAAAGTGCTAAACATATATAGAGGAGATTTGAAATATGAATGTTCTATGTATTAGGGAGATTATTTTTCATTAGTAAAAATAACAATTTCCATAAGTTCTTACCAGGAATCTTATCTGTACTTGATTGTAAGCCTACTTTATGAATAGTAGCGTAATATCTTTCTCTTTGGGCTTCAGCATTTTGCTGATTATCCAATGCTTCCTTCATATTTCTAGCTTGTCCTGAAATATATTATAAGTTGCATAAACTTACTCGTTTTTATTCAATTTCAATAGTTATTAATATAACATACTTGTCCTTTGGCAGAACACGATAGTTGTTGCAGTTGCTATCAAGGAAACAATTGCTACAATCAAAGGTAAAATTATTCGTGGATCTGTATAAAAAGCTCTTACAAAATGTCCTCTTCTCACTAATTCAGGAGGTGGAACCTCTAATAAAAAAAAAAAAAATTATAATATCAAATATGGGATTAGCACTCTCGCCCATCATTCATACAAATACACATAAACATATAGAAAAAAAGACTATTCAGAATAATTGATTATTTGGACTGCTCTTATATTAGAGAAATCTAACATTAAGAGAATGAAAAGTTGTCTTCTTCTAGTACAGTATGTATACTCAGTCAATCCTCTGTTTATTGAACTCTGTGTATAGAAAATCTCTACTGTCAAACTTTTTTCAACAGAAATGGATTTTTACTAACAAAAAATATTCAGTAAATGAAAAAGATTCCTATATATTTTTTTCTTTCTATATCTATAAGTTTAAATTTTTAAGAATTGTGTAATAAAATTTTATTTAATAATAAAAGAAAAAAAAATTACTGAGGACTAAAACTGGATTCAGTTGCTAAAATGTATGATGTGACTTTTCTTCACTCCACGACTTCTGTCCTACCACGGTCAGCTCAAACCTTTCAAAACCTCTTGCACGGCTTGTACAAAATCAATTTTCCAACTTCCTAGAAAATGGTCCCTCATAAATTCTTACCACCAATCTTCTCAATATCTATGCTCCCCTTAATTTCAAATCCTTCCTCTCAGATCGGAGACAGTAAGTATATGGTTATACCAAGTCAACCTCCATCCAAGACACTCCCTCTCACCAAAGGCATTCCACAGAGTTCGTCTCTATCCCTCACTCTGTTTGCTTTTTATATTAATGACCTTCCTTAAAAGATTCATCATTCCAAATACGATATTTATGCCGACAACTACTATTACAATCTACAGGAAAACTTCAAGAAGACTTAAACAGAATCTGTGACTGAGAAAAAGCTAAAAGTTGAAGTTTAATGTTGATAAGACAAAGGTACTGATAATTCAACAATAATCTCAGAAATTTTTTCTACCATTAAAAACCTGAGAACAACCTTTGATCAAAATCTGTTCTGGAAAAATACAGGAAATAATAAACTATTGTCTAATAATATGCAACATTTATGTAATTCTAGCTATCTCTATAAATCAATGTTAATTCATAACTCACCACCATCTTTAGTGAGTGTGTAGAACTGAAACTCTCCCACTGAAGAACCTGCAACATTGTAAGCTTCTACTTGAAGTATATACTCTGTGGATGAAAGGAGTGCAGATACTGTGAACTTCTTCTGCGGTTGAACATTGTTTGAAACTAAAACAAACAATAATCATACTTCATTATTGGTCATTAATGGACTAACAGTTTATTGAACAATAAATTGATTCAGACACTGGAATCTTTGTTTAAGGTTTTTCTTTATTTATACTTAACATCCTTATGTACTCCATCTAGGGCAGAAAGGATGGAGGTTAAGAACAACAGAAATTTATTTATTTCTAATTCATAAAATATCAGGAAAAAGAGGAAAGAAATATGAGTTTTCTCTTTATTATTTTTCCCATCAAATATTGGACACTTTGATTTAACAGATAAAGGAAGCAACAGGATTTGGGAATAATAAAAGTAAGAATGAGCGTATTGAGATTGGGTGGGAGTCCCAGAAGTCGGAAGCATGAACTAAGAGAGATTCTTTGAACATTACTATAACCAGTGATAATGGCCTTTTTATCTATGCAATTAATTTACTGATATTGATCTCAGAGCTTAAGATTATGCCATGGTGGCCCATGGCTGAGCTGGTAGAAATTTGTATTTATAAATTTTTATTAGGGTTAAGTATATGAAAAAATAATTCATAAAAGCTGATTGGAAAGAATAAAGTTATTTAATAAAAAAAAGAAGCTCCACCAAACCATCAAATTCCTCTCGTATACAATCCTTATAATCCAAAATCCTTCGTAAAATCCTCAATGCTCCTTATTTTGCTATAAAGTTAGAATTCTTAAAATCATCCATAATGGCGTTAATGTTCCTTATGTTTCTGATTTGGTCCAATTCAGATATCTATCCTTCCATAATAAACTTCATAACCATCCCAACCATCTTGTTTCTAACCTCGGTTCCTCTTCAATTCCTGATAACTCCCTGAGGCATCTGAAAAGAAGATGGCCCCCTGATCTTCTAATGTAGACATGTTATTAGAGTGCTACCAGTGGGTAGTTTCTCAACAAGTGTTTCATGTCATCAGATCCATTGTACAAATTTACTAGATGTATTTTTTTATACGGTTGTGAATATCATAATAAATAATAAAAAAGCCATTTTTTGTGTAGTAATCATTTATACTTTGAATAGAAAAATGATAATAATGTACATTCTTACCTAGTAACCATTCTTGTTCATTGACTGTTTTATATCTGACCACAAATGAAGTGATGGGGCAGCCGTTATCAGGCCAAACATGAAGTCTTAGAACTACTGATGTTGAATTTGGAGCTAAGAAGTGAGAAGGAGGTGGTACGCCTGGATATTGTCCCTGTGTTCTCACCGATAGAGGACGACTAGGCTGTGATGTTCCGAGCTTGTTAAAGCAGTTCAAGTAAATCTGATAAGTGCTACCACATGTGAGGCCCTGTATACAGAAAATAAGAATCAACAAAGATTTTATCATTAAAGAATATTATTGTTAAAGAACAAATTTAAACGACTATAAAGGAAATTCTTTTAACCGAAAATCTCTAAATACCTTTTATTTTATTTTTTATCAGTAACCATAAAATGTTACAAGATAAAACTTTGCTTACATCAAATAAAATACATTTATATGATTTATTTTTCCTACTTTAAGTTCATGACTGATTGTTCTTCTCGATAACTGTATCTCTTCAATATCTCCATGGGCTTTTTTATAATACAATGTGTATCCTAAAATTGGGGCTCCACCATTTTCTCCTGGTTTCCAATGAAGTAATATACTACTACTTGTAGCACTGCTCACATACAGAATAGGTGTTCCAGGAGCAACTAAAAACATGTTCACAATAGAGAATTGATATAAATAAATTGTATTCAATGAAGGAACCACTGAAAACTATTAAGTTAAATAATGACTTTTTGATTAATTTTGTAATGCATTGATTGATAACTAGTAAATTACTATGCCTATATTCATTAAAATTAAATAAAAACAGGGATTGAAGTTACAATGACAGAAAACTATTTAATAATTTGAACTATTAATTTTAAACATTCAAGAAACCGAAGGATATCTAAATTAAGTTTGAAATATATCATACCTAAAAAATAAAAACTGGTTAGTTCTAGGAATAATAGAAAAATCAACAGAAATATATTGAAGGAAAGTTATTGAAATATGAGGAAAGATTGGAAATATTGTTCAAAATCATTTAAAAGATATATCAGTCATTTAAAAAGAAAATAATAGAAAGTTAGATTATATTCTAAGTTTTGAGAATATTAAATTAGAAATGAATATTGAATTCCTTTACCTTGTACAATCAGAGAATAATGAATTCGATCTGACCCAAGTGCATTTTCCACAAGACAGGTATAATTATCAGAATCTCCTCTGCTTAAGCTAGATAAAACCAACTCTCCTGATTCTAGCACCTTAAAAAAAAATTTAATGTCTTATAAACTATTATGTTAAGAAGAATATGAGATGATTGAATGTTGCCTGTGCCTCCAAAATACAATTTCTGAAACAAACACTCATCAATTTAACAAAAGAAAACCTATACCCCTTACATCCTAAGATGTAGGTGCGGTTGTTTACTTGATAAGGATGTACTGGTTATTGATAAACAATTGTGCAAGAGAGTTATCGGGAAACGATCAAACCCAACTACTACATTTTTTCCATCATAGACAATATGTGTATTCCACAAGGGTTTCCTGACCACAGAATCGAACCACAGCACGTATATTAGAATAAATAATTTATAATACATTTTTAAGATATTCTGATTACGAACAATAATAACAAAATTTAACAATTTCTTGATGATTATTGTAATTAATTATATTATTTTCAAATACAATTCTTATCTTATCTTGTTTTGTATACACAAGTACAAAAATAATTGACACTTGAGAAAATAAGTTTATATATATATTTTGATAAGAGCCTTCATCACAATGCATTCAATAACACTGGAATCACTAATAGGTTCACTCACTAACTCACTGGAACTCTTTTCTCAACTTTAAGACTCCTCCGGCGCTGGGATGCGAACTCGTGACTATTTTTTTATCACTTTATCTTATATCAGGTTGCCGGGCAACGGTGGTAATGTGCACATGCGTTAGCCAATTCGGCCACCCTGCCCACACTCTTTTCTTAACTGTTGATGATGACTAAATCCATAAATGGAACTATTCCCTCATATTGTAGAATATAAAATTGAACTTTATTCTGGGACTAAGTTCCCTTAGAATAACAACGATGAACAAATACAAAAGAAAATACATATCTGGCCAAAAACTAACTTGTAAAGATTCTAACATTATATACATTAATTTAAAAAATATTATGTAAACCACTAAAAAAACAAAAAAAAGAAATGAAAATAAAATGTTCTCGAACATACTTATTATTGTAATGGAAGAAAAAAAAAGAAGAAGAAATTACATATTTATATATACATAACTGTATATATTATGTACATATATATAACAAAATTTATAAACATTAGGCTATCTAATAAAAACTAATTTAATACAAAATGTAATAATATCTACAGTGATTTACATAATAATATGCAAACATTAAAGAAATAAAAATAAAATCTTCTCAGGAAACTTGTAGTGGAATTGAAAAACAAAAAAAAATATACACAGGCACGCACGCACACACACGCACGCGTGCTTTCTTTCTGAGAGAGAAAAAGTATAGCCTGGACAAATAAAGAAGAAAAAAAATGAGATAACAATAGTAATAACAGAAAAGCATTGATTTAGATGTTAAAATATAAACAGTATGCTAAAATAATAAACGAACACTATAAAGTTCTAACTATCCCTATAGTACTTTAAATAATAATATGTTGACAGTTAAACAAAAAATCTTCTCAAGCGTGACTATAGTTGAAATGGGAAAATAGAAAAATAAAATAAAAAACAATATACCCAGAAAGAAAAAAGCAAACCCTAAAATGAAGAGAAAAGCAAATAAATAGTAAAAATAATAATCAAACTAGGTGACAAAAATCATTGATGTTTTATGCTAAAACTTAAACAGTAGGCACTACCATTTACTTCTCACAAATTTAATTCATAAAATGATAATCTGCAGAACACAAGAAGGTATTGGAAAAGGAGGTATTTGAAAGATGACAGGGAAGAGGAATGACGGATGTTGTGGCAAGGAATTTCAGAAGGTAACGGAACGGGCTAAGAAGGAAAGTTCATAGGTTTTTCCCTATGGGAGAGAATATAGAGATCAGAAACACGGGATCTTGTTTGTAGTTAGTAGACTGAGGATTTAGGCTGCAGGAAACGGTAGATATAGGAAGGGTGCCGGGCGTTGATCATTTGGTATAAGAGATTTCCAAGGAAGTATTGGCGGGAGAATAGGTGGGACGCATGAGGCCATGTTGAAGTACTGAAGACGAATCTTAAAAAACTATAAAGATTTTACTGTACTTCTAGACTTCTCGAATAACTTTTACTACTTTTATAACTTTAGATGGTTGGAACCATTATAATATTAAATTTAACAAATTATCATTATTAAAACTAAATTCTTCAAATAATTAATTTTCTATAAACGACTGCTAAATTAGGACATTATGTAAAATCTATACAAAGTATAAAATACTACATTATTATATTATTAATTATAAAATTTGCCATAGAGGTGGATCTATTACCTCTGCTCTTACAAACCTTTAATAAGAAATATTTATTTACATAAAGAGTAAGAACATTTCTTATTTATCAGGACTTGAAATGCTGATGGCAAAGATATGCATGAATAACTATATTCATACATTGTACTCTGCATTTTTAAGAGAAAGTGGAAGAAAGATTATTTAAATTTTATTTAATTAGTTTTCAGTTAAATTTCACATTGTCTAATAGTAAATGCAAAGAAAGACTAAATAGTCTCTAACCTGTACGTTATGGTTGGGCACTGAATGCAAAATGACATCATTTTTCAGCCATTCTCTCTTAGGAGTTGGATTGCCAACAGCCATGCATGCTAAAGTTACAGTCTCATGCCAGGGTTTTCGAACAATTTGCCCAAAGGATGATATTTTAGCAGGTACTGTTAAAAATAAAACAAATGAAAGAATCAATTTAAGATAAAATGAGTACTGTTCAAATTATTATGAACATAGAAGTAACCTCTGCTACTCGGCATCTGAGATACAACCCTTGAGCTCTGTCCTTCTCCAACTTTTGTTGAACTTGTGACCCAAAACTGATATTCAACATGTTGCTGGAGGTGCTTTGTTTCAAAACTGGTTTGACTATTTGGAATGCTTCTCTTGCCATGATTTAATTCTGCCTGGCCATCTACAATCCTTAAAATTATTTCTATTAAACTAAATCAAAATCACTGGTGATCATAATTTACTAATTATTTTAAATTAAATTAAAAGAAAATACAGTGTAATATTACCTGGTATAGAGAGTGTAACCGATCAATATACCATTAGGATGTGCCGGAGGTAGCCATGAAACCAAGAGTGACTGTTGGCTACTTACAACTACTTTGATATCGTCTGGTGGGCCCGGTGCTATGAATTTTAAAAATAACAAAATTAATTGAAAAAGATAAGAAAGTATTTAAGAATTATTTACTATAATTAGAAGGACCCGGATCTGAAGACCTGAATTTACCAAAAAATTTATCTTGAAATTTATTTTTAGAGCTGAAAAAGATCTTAAACCATATATGAACAATATTATATAGAATAAAAAAAACAAAAGTATTTGTAGAGCTTAACATTGTTTAACATGAAAAACATAAATGATCATGGTAAAAGTGAGTAGGTAGGAATATTAAATCTCGATGTTTACGAAAATAAGAATTTTAAGAATTAACATTACTTAATAACAAAAAGAGTACGTTCCAAAATTCCGCGCTAATTCCAGCAGCAATAGATAGTGATTTATGCTCAGTTTAGGAATGGCCTGATGGGTTCTATCGGAAGGTTAACAATACTAAAAGATTACTAAACAAATGAACAATATAAAAATATTTAAAGAAATACCTACCTGTGTAAAAAAGTGGTTGGCAAATCGTGGGGTTTGGAACTTAGTATGGCCATATGGCTATATAGGACTGATTAGAACCCTAGTCCTCTATGCCTGTGGTGGCATAGAGCTGCAGCAAGCAAGCCTAGAGCTTTGCTTGAAATACTCCAATCGCTTGAGTGCCTTTTGATGACTGGAGATATAAGTACTACTACCAATGCTGCAATGGAAGTTTTCTTGAATGTAACATCATTGCACATAGAGGTGGAAGCACATGCTCTTAGGACTGCTTATAGAATGGATGAATTAGGAATGAGATTGAAATTTCTGACATTTCAGGGACATGTGATCGTGTTTGATAAGATTGATAGCGAGGTGCTCAGGATGAACTCAGATCATCAAGTTGATAAAAATAGAGACATACACAACCGTGTAATGATAGGCAGGAACAACTCTCACCGAATATGAAATGGAATTAACTGTTATACCGATGGGTCCTTGACAAAGCAAGGATCTGGAAGAATAAACCTAATGAGAGAATATTCATATCTTTACGTAGATATACATCCGTCTTTCAGATAAAGGTTTTAGCTATTGATTTCTGAGCATAATTCCTGATAAGGGAGAGAGTTACAAATAGATTGATTTCAATTTTTAATGATTGCTAAGTGGCTATTGGTGCCCTGGATAGTTATGCTGCCCACTCCAAGTTGATAGATAATTTGAGTGTAAAGATAATTTGAACATTCTCTGTAGCACCAACAAGATTATCGTTGAATGGGTGCCTGGACACAGGTATTCTAGGCAATGAGAAAGCTGACTGTCTTGCTGGGAAGGGCTCTTTACAAGTCCCCATATCACCACAGTCCATCTGTGATATTAGCCTCAGCTATGCCAAAAGGTATATTAGGGCAGATGTTGGCAACAAAACTAAGCTCTATGAGGAGCAGATTAGAAAACTAAACCTCTATAATTAAAGCCGTTTACTTCTGGAATACCATCTCTCCCAATATCTGACAAGCACAATCAGTTTCCTCATTTAAATCTCTCTTTTTTAAGCACCTACTTCTTCCCTAATCCAATTGATCATAAATTGCAGATAAGAGAACTTTTTAAGTTCCCCCCGAAATGATTTTGTTCACTTATGTTATTTTATTTTCCCATGCTTGTTTTATATATATCTGTAAGTTTTTAGTTGTTTTCTTCTTCCAATATTTAAATTTTAATGAGATTTGTAAATATTTAATTTAATGTATGGCCACACAGGCATTTTTCTGTATCTATAATTTGTCCTAAAGAGATAATCGTTCCAGAATAATAAAAAAAAATATCTTCATTTCATTTCACTATGTGCAGATGTGATAATTTGACCAGACTGCGTTATTTTCACTTTGAAAGTGATCGTGCCACTGACCCTAAGCTCTGTGAAGTGATAGATCCCATTAGTCTTTACAAGTTCGCAAAGCTATCTGCCCTGTTTTAACAGAGTTAAGGCCGAGACTCAATAGGCAATTCTCAATGAGACCGCGGTGCATCCTTAGCTGGGTAATATAAAAATAAATTTAAAAAATACCAACCTACTGAACTCTAGCATTTTAAAAAAGATATAAATAGGGAAAGTTTCTAAACTTAGAGCTGAGCTCATCGATTGCGTAGTTTTGCTCAGTTTTGAGACTGATACGATGTCATAGATGAGCTCAGCACTTTTTTTTGTGAAAAAAAGATCTTCGCACTGAGTTTGGGAACGTGCATATAGAAACAGAAAGTAGACATAAATATATGAAGTAAATTAAAGGCATAACAAAATTGAGATTTCACCTAGCTGATCCATCAACACCAAAAGCCATCAATGAGCGATTCATTGCGAATGATTCAATCAATAAATAAATTAACGCTCTTAATTTATTGATTAATTTAAGAATTTTCCCAAATATTTAATTGTTGGTGGGAAATAATATTTCCTAAATTTCTTGAAAATATTCTAATATCTCAAATTATATTAAACTCTAGTTATTTTTAAAGTCAATTGAAACACTGTTTTTTTGAAATGGAAAATTGCAAAAAAGATCCATTTTAGAGCTAAATTGCAAAATAGATAAAAAATGATTCAATAGGATTTTGTATTATAAACCTACTACTCAAGATCGGCATATATCTTTTGAAATCTGCTTTCCCTCAAACAGAAAATAAAATAGGGTAAATCCTTCAAATTCGAGCCCCAATAATTAGTGCCAGTTCTAATAAAATCAACTGAAGTTAGTTTTACATACAATTTATGATCTTAAAATGATAATAAATAATCCCATTTATATGAGTGGTGATAATATTATTTCCTGAGATCCACATAATAAATCTTGATTACATACTATGCCTAGAAAATGTTTGTGACCATAGGATATCTCACCCTCCCTGTACTAGTCGTATATAAGGGAAATAAAATAAATAAAAGGTAACAATGATTTCATTATGTTAAATACAAATATAAGTGGAACAAATTCAGGAGGCACTAATAATTGGATGCAAAAATTATTACATCAGAGATAAGGCTTAAATATTCACTATAAAGTTTCTAGTTTGAATTGGATATTAATATTACCAAAAAGAGAATACAAAAACTGACAAATTATTGGTTCAATGTTTTTATTTAAGAATATTATAGGGTGATTGAGTGTTTAACGTGAAATTTTTATTCCTTAAAATATGTGACATTAAAAATTGGAAAGTTAGAAATTAGCTTTGAAGCTCACGGGTTGTAGTGGTTACAAGTTTAATTATTATTATCATTATTTTTTTAAAGAGCTTAAAGGAGAAGATAAATGAAGTGTATTTGGAAATATGGCATACCAACAAAAATAAATCTTTTAGATACACAAGAATGTTATAAGAACTATCTCAAAATGATTTAAATTTATTTCAACGTTACATAGTCATGAGAAATTTCATGAAAATTTGGAGTATTACCATCTTCATCAGTATGGCAGTATGATGACTTTGTATATGGCCCATCTCCAATCCTAGTAAATGCCAAAACTTGCAAGGAATAGTTGGTATATCTTTGTAAACCAGTTAATATTATTGTAAGTGCTGAAGTTTTTCTTGTTTCCAGGCCAATATCCATTTCTAATAAAATCAAAATGAAAAAAAATAAATAAATGAAACAATTATGAACAAATAAAAATAATTTGATGGTTTTATTATTTTACCAGGGTCTTGAGTATCATAAAGTATCTTGTAACCTTGTATTATTCCATTACAATGCTGTATAGGAGGAGATTGCCAATTGATCTGAAGTGACTGTGAACCTAAGGCAGTGCACCTTATATTTTCAGGAGGTGCACTAGGAGCTGTAGCAAAGATGAGGGATAAAAAAAAAGAAACAAACTATAAATAAATGTTAAGATCTAAAACTATAAGGCAAAACTGTAAATTAAAAGTTTTCAAATGTTTATTGAGTTTAATAACTTTTTTAATTTAATTTGAAATCCTCGAATTCTCCAAGATGATAACAGTTTAATTAATTAATAAAATTTCTATTAATTATTTATTAAAAGATATATAGTTAAATTTCAATAGACTCCAAAAAAATGTGGGAAAATAAATTTTTTCTTACCATCTTCTAACGTTTGAGCAGAAACTGGTTCAGACAGAGGACCATGACCTACTTGATTAAATGCTTGAACTACAATCGTATATCTTGTGTACTTTTCAAGACCTCCAAGTAATAATTCTCCGGTACCATCTTCACCATCACCACTTACTGCTGTCATGTTGTAATTACTATTTACAGCACTGAAAAAATATAATTATTTATAATATTCTTTTTGAATTTCATCAGAAGTCCATTAAATTATATGATACTACCAGGGTTACAAAGTCTTAAATTATTGAAATAATTTAAATTTTTAGAATATTTTTAAATTGAGAGCGATTTGAGAAATTTTAAATTATTCAGTATATGATTAAAGATACTATCTCCTCCACACTGTAACTAAAGGCAACATTACAAAACATTTCTTCTTCACTTTAATAATCATAAACAAAAAACAGCACAATATGGATGAAAGCTAGATATTGTTTGTCAATTTAAGAGAAGGAAGGGATAACGGAAATGGGGGCAATGATCTCCTTCTTTACATTCTGCGGTTGCATGTGTGACTTAACAAAAGTTAAAAACATGCAACTTCTCCAATGGTATGGTAATGTTTTATTGGAAAAGTGATATGGGCCATCACCACTCCATGTCAAAGATAATATTAGAATTTTATGCTCTTTTCAGCACAAGGCATCTTTGTACAGCTATATATGTTCTTCATATTACTATGTTAAGGAGATGCTTTATCTAATATAACTTCTCATGTTTTAATTGTATATATATTTATTATACTATACTTGCAATTATTTTTGAATAGTGAAAAGAATCACAAGAAAGCATAATTTATTCTCACATCAAAATACATCACAGCAAGACAAAAAATATGAAAGTTTTTAGTTAAATCATTAAAAATAAAATAGTTCGTTTTTCAATTTAAATATACAGTGTTAAAAGTGACATTATTACAATATAATACATATAAAATTATATCTGTTTGTTATGAAATGAGTAAAACAGAAAATGTCTTACATGTTCTATGTCATGCACTTGTATTATAATATTAGATAATCGGTGATCTAAATCATAAATAAATGTATACAATAAAATAATAATGTTTGTTACCTTATTTCTTTATATCCAACATAGTAGCCCTGTATATCTCCATGCCTTAAATCTGGAAGAGGTGGTGACCAGGTGACATGCAGTTGCGTTGAAGAGACAGGACGTACAGCCAATCCGAGCGGAGGCCCTGCTGGTCTCTGAGGCTCAGTCCGAACCCACAATTCAGTGGATGGTGAACTTCTTCCAGCAGGACCTTCTGCAATGACCCTCATTAGGTACTTAGTAGCAGGTTTCAGATTTTCAATCAGTGCCCCTCTTACTTGACCACTTAATTCATTCTGCCTCCAGGAACCTGTTACAAGTAGTAATCTTAAAACTTGTTAATACAATCAGTAATTCAAAGCATTAAAACTATTTTTTTTTTAAATATTGCATTGAAAGTTTAGTAGGTAGAAGATAAGTTATGGCTGGGAATATTTGAAAATAGTAAACCTACCATTCTAGCCAATAGCGAATCCAGGATTTAATTTTGGGGGGCTTCAGCCCGAAACCTTTTTTTTCATAAAAATAATGATAATTACTTTGGAAAAACAGAAAGAAACTAACTACCTATATGAAATGGTGTTTAAGTTATTCCTTAAGTACTTTTAAATGTAATTACACGAACAATAATACTTTAAGAGGTATTTTTTCTCCATAAATTCCCCATAAAAACCCAAAGGTATTTTGGGGGGGGAGGAGGGAGCTTCAGGCCGAAAGCCTCCCTCTCCCCCCCCTCCCCGTAGATCCACCTGTGATTCTAGCAGTATGCAGGTGATAATCATCTGCAAGGAAAAATGGAGTGAAATTAACTTAATTTACAGGGGAGGGAGGGGCAAATGGCTCCAGTCCTCACTATCTCTATCAATGCCTACTGTATTACTATCAGTGTTTATAGCTTGGAGGAAAGGATAGAGAGGGAAGCAGTGATAGTAGCACTGGATGCCAATGCTCATCACAAGATTTGGAGAAGCTCCAATAACAACCGGAGAGGTGAGTCTCTTTTAGAGTATTCAGAGTAGAGCTTCGACATTGAGATTCTAAAAGGAGTAATGTTCTATTAACGTTTGTTAATAGAATTCGCTCAGAAGTAATAGACATAACAAGCATTGCTTTAGTTCTAGGATAAGGGGATGGGATGTTTCTGATGAAGATTCATGCTCTGATCATCGTTATATCAGATTTGATCTGTCTGGATATAATGTGAAAGACTGTATACAGAAATCCAAAATGAACAAATTGGGATAGATACTGCATACAGCTTGAGGAAGAGGTCAAATGCTATCCTGACAATATTAGGAATTCTTGACATTTGGAATGCCACTACTCCTCATTATCTGAGGCAATTATGAGATCTTACATGGACAATAATTGTGTCAGTTATGTTAGGTCCAACAGGAATGTTTCTTGGTGGAACCATGAACTTGGCAAACTAAGAGTCTCAACTAGAAAACTCTTTAATGCAACCAAAAGTACGGGGAGATGGAATACCTATAAGTGTGCCCTCCCTGGTATAGCTTATAAAATACTATCCTCTGCCATTGGTAGGTGACTGATATCACATAAAGAGAAAGAAGTAGGCGAATATCAGTGTGGCTTCAGGAAGGGTAGATCGACTATTGATCAGATCTTTACCGCCCGACAGGTGCTAGAGAAGTCATACAATACAATGTCGACCTGCATCACCTCTACATTGATTTTCAGCAGGCATACGACTCAGTGGATAGGCAGGTTTTGATGAGGGATCTTCTCTCTCTGGGTGTGTCTAAGAAGCTTACTCACTTAGTAAAAATTACTATGGGAGATACCAGATGCAGAGTGAAACTACACGGATTGCTGTCTGAGTCCTCTGTAGTTTCGGGAATATTGCTAGGAGACACCAAGGCTACTCCCCTTTTTAACATGACCTAGGAGAAGGCGGCAAGGGCCATAAGGACCAACCCGGCAGGTACCATCTTTGACTGCTTCACACAACACATGGGCATACGCAGATGATGTAGAGATTGTAGCAAGTACGCTCCCAGCGCTGGCGGGTGCATTGAAGGAATTTGAGGCCGCTGCAGCAGCTTGAGGTCTACAAATAAACGAGCAAAAGACGATGTACATGAAGAGTTCAAGATATCACCCTCATCAAGATCGGACACTAAACATAGGCCAACACGAGTTCCCAGTATGCAGAGAGCTCAAGTGTCTGGGATCCCTTATGAATGCAGACAATGGATCTAGGAGCCAGGATTGCTGCGGGAAGCTGATGTTTTTATGCCATACAGCGACTACTTCGAAAACTATCAAGGAATGCCAGATTGACAATCTATAAAACAATGATTCGTCCTGTAGTCACATATCAAAGCGAGATTACCTCAAAAAAATTTGAGAGGGCTCTTGTAGTGTGGTAGCATAAGATTCTTAGGAGGATTTACGGGCCCATATGTGAAGAAGGCATTTGGAGGTCCCGATTGTATCGGTTGCGACAACTATACAGCGACGCAGATCTCGTAAGTGTCATAACGGCAGGACGAATAAGATGGTTAGGGCATGTGGAAAGGATGGCAGCAGATGAAGTACCGAGGAAAATATTATATGGGCGACGTGGAGGAAGAGCAAGAAGGAGAGGAAGGCCCCCATTCCGTTGGCTGGAGGAGGTTGAGGCCGATTTGAAACAGCTTGGCAGTGGAGGGCTGTCGCATTGGACTGAGACGAGTGGCGATGTATTGTTGAGAAGGCCAAGGTCCAGGAGGACTATAGCGCCGAGGAGTAAGTAAGTAAGTGCCCTCATTGAATACAAGTCAAAAAGGGGGGCATGGAGAAACTTCTGTAGTGATATAAATGACACGTCATCCACATCCAGAGTCCATAAAATCGTATGGATTAGTTTGCATACGGATGGATTCGTCATTGGCACGGTCAGGTTTGAAGAAAGCAACACCTATTCTACAGAAGATACTCTGGAGGCTCAGGTAGGTGTTCATTTTCCTGGCTGCCTAATGCTAGATGAGCATATAGTTAATCCCGCTATGGACAGTTACACCAGTGACTAAGACAAGTTGGTTGAAGCCTAAAGAATTGTTAATTCCAGGAGAGTTCAATGGACAATTAGTTCTTATGTACCATTAAAATCAGCTGGCACTGCTGGGATTTTTCTGACCCTTTTACAAAAAGGCTTACCTGTGATTAAAACCTGTCTTCTGGAGTTATTTAGGAGTAGTTTAGCACTTGCATATACCCCTAATAGGTGGAGGGAGGCAAGAGTTTGTTATATACCTAAGCCTTTATATACCTAAGGGAAAGAGTCTTATGACAATCCCAAAGCATACAGACCTAAATATCTGACTTCTTCCCTGTTGAAAGCACTAAAAAAGATTATGGATAGACACATTAGGGATTCTACATTAGTAGAGAGACTGCTGTACCCAATTTGCCTATCAAGCCGGCAAATCCTGAGAGACAGGGTTACATCACTTGTTCTCTAGAATCGAGAAAAGCTTATCACAGAAAGAGATTATGGCGGATATCTCTGTTGATATTGAAGATGCCTTTGATGGTAGCCCTTATGATACAATGGCTAGATCATTGGATAGTAGAGGGGTCGGACTCTTGGCTTCGGAATGGATTAACTCGGTTCTGTGGGGAAGAGTCCTTAAATCTGAGCTGAAACAATCTATACTGTGAGTTAAACCTGTTGGAGGTTGTGTTATCTTCAGTTTTGTGGTGTCTGGTCGTCAACTCCCTGATTGTTAAATTGAATGCGGCAGGATTTTATTCTCAGGGATACGCTGATGATATCGCTGTACTGAAATGAGGTAAATTTCCAGATACAATCTGGATTGCTAGAAAACATTATGAGACTTATAAAAAAATGGTGCCAGGACAATAGCATTACCATAAATCCGCAGAAGATAAATCTATGTATCTTCACTAACGGAAGGGATATCAATATTAGATCACCATCATTAAATGGGTTATCATTAACTATCTGTAGTGAAGTAAAACATCTTGGGATTACTCTGGTAAGTTAAATTGGCTAAGTCATATTGGATCATTCAATCTTAAATGCACCGTCAAGCTTCCTTAATAGGAAAAACCCATAGAATCAAATTTATAGAGCATCAAATTTTGCGTCCAGTGAGTGCCAACTAATTTAATATAAGTCACTTACTCCAAAAAAATTCAGTAATCTCCTGATGGTTAGAAATCGGTAATGAAGGTAAACGTGATTTTCAATATTTCAACAGTATGGGTGTCATTATCGTTGCACAAATATTAACAGTAAAACTCTTGATTTTTCCTTTACTTTTTTTCTCAACACCATATAAACCTCCATTGTTATATCTGGTTACTTATTTTTTGTGATATTAGTAGATAAAATAGAATTGTATCTTTGTTAATTGGCATTTATTAGGGTTTCAATTTTGTATTATGTGACAAATCCATTTGCTTCTCTGACATGAGATACTGTCAGTAACTGTGAGCAACATTACAAGATCTATGTTCTTTAAAAGAAACTGTACGTAAAGTCTTTAAGAAAAAGTTAGCCATCTAATACTCATTATTTTGTTATTATTGGATGGTTTATTGACACCACTGTTTTTTATTAAATCCGATTTTTTTTTCCCGCTCCTCACCTTCAATCGCCTTTAAGGCTATATGGGATTTTCTCAGGACAGGGATTTAAAAGATTCCCCTGGCACCGGGATGGGAAATCTTGACTATTTTTATCTAGTAATCTCATATATCAGGTTGCTGGGCAACGGCAGTGCTGTGCACACACATTAGCCCATTCAGCCACCCCACCCACATTAAACCTGAATTTATAAATGAAGCTCATAAGCCTGGAATGTAGTACCTAATCAATGTCAAAAATAAACTGTGATGAATAGAAAGAAGGTAAGGACATTCCTAATAATGCTTCTAATACTTGCAACATTAAACTATACTAAAAAATGTAATAACAATAACTATAAGGTAATGTGGTATAAGTAAAAAATAATTAAAATATAAAATCAAGAAACCTGAAGCTTCTTTGTATTGAACTATGTATTTAGTGACATCAGTTGGATCACCAGTTTGATGTGCCCATTGTAAATTGACTGATCGGCTATTCACCATCACAGCCTTTAATTCAGTTGGTTTTTCAGGAGGTTCTGTAAGAATAGTTTTTATTGCTAAGTAAAAATGAAGCAATTTGAAATTATATAATTATACATTATTATAACATGGAAGAAATGGATAATTATTTTAAAACTTTAAAATTTCAACTTTCCCCTACCATCATTTTATTAATTACTTAACCTTGAACTGTTAGTTGTACAAGTTGTTGATCTCTTCCATAAAGATTTATGGCTTGACAGAAATAGGAACCACTATCTGCAGATTCAGCACCAGCAATATGCAGTTCTCCTAAGATAATACCACCTGGAACTGCTTCTTGTTTAACATTTACCCTGCAATATAAAAGATTAAAATTGTTTCTTGACTTGAAGTCATCTTTATACTAATCATTTTCTTTCTATTATTTGTAATACATTTTTATGATTTAACAAAAATTTGCTTACACTACTTGTGGCAGTGTCGGGTTTAAAAAAAAAAAAATATACAAATGAATAATCAATTCTGCTTTACCTGTCCATAGGCTTTAAGTGATTTTAAATAAAATATTAATCTTATTATTAATATAAAATTTGATGGTCATGAAGAAAAGTAATAGTAAACATTTAATACTATGTGTATATTGAGAAAACAAAATAAATCGAAAATACATTTCACAAACATTAAAATAAATTAAAGATATCTCCATAAATACAAATAAAAATACTTCATTAACAAAACAAACAAAAATATCTTTTAAATTAAACTTACAATTGTTATGTCATAAATCCATACATCTGATAAAAATAAATTTGATATTAAAAAATGTCCAATATACAGCTCAACCTCAACGTTCAGTGTATTTTTTGAGGAAAATCAATGGTTTCTATTCCTCATCTCCAAACTGTTGGCCCAGGGGGGTCCGATGCAGTCAAATGCAGGAAAAAATGTAAAACTCATCTCTAAATCATTCCAATTAAAATAAATAGAACACCTTCAGCCTGGCTGATCATATTTGTTCCATAACTTCCAATAGTGCAGCTGGACGATTGTTTCCTGGAATAAGCAATGTTTCCTGGGCTAAGCGATGTTCCAAGACACCTATTCATTAGTGGATGGGGCAATCTGGGATTAACTGGAATTAAAGTTAATGTGTCACCAGCTGATATAAAACCATTACACTAAAAGCTGGCAGCCATACTATCTTGTTCGCTACATGATGTCATGTGACACAGGACGAGAGCCAAGCTGTGCCACAAGTGGCCAACAATTTTGTTGTTTAATACACCAAATATTTAATGATATAATTATATAAAAATAGAAATGTCTATAAAATATTATTTGTACCAAAAAAAATTAAATAAATTAAAACTTTAGCTTGCTGGCCTCAACACTATTTATCACTAATTATGTCAATTTTTTTTTTTTAATTTCAAACCTGGCAAAAGTTGAAAGAAAACTACAAGTGGTAATTAATACAAGCTTTCAATATTGATTAGTTATTTCTTCTAAGCGGGTATTGGTTATAATTAAGCTAATTATTTGGAATTTGATCTGACACAACAAACGTTTAATAATACTGATATATAATTAGATAGGAATAAATAGAGATTTGTTATAAAAATTGTTAGGAAATAATAGATGGATCACAGTTCGTGGAATAGGGTAGTCAGGCAGAATGGGGAAAAGTTGAGCTGAGCTGTTGTGATTTATCCAATTTATTCAACATATTCCTGTGATGAAAAAGAATCACATCTTCTGTACACCAAGTGAAGGTCAACGAAGACAAAAAAAAAACAATAAAAAAACTGGTGCATGAAATAAATGAGTTAAGGGAGTTTCACAGATTAAGCCACAATAAATTTAAATGCAATATAAATATCTGAACCTCAATATATTGTATATTGAGATGGGCAGTAATTAATTTTTTTAAAAAAGGAACTTACATGAACTTGACCTGTATTGAAAATAAAGTACAAGATTCTGTCTCAAGAATCTGACAAGAAATTCTGTTAAAAAAACTATTTAATACGAGAGTAATATTGACTGTATTGCTGTGAGAAATGGAATTAAACTTGATATATAAAATATATTTATTTATTATTATTGCCATTTAATTTTAAAAAAACCAGCTGTTTATACTTAAGGTAATACAAACCTGTAATTATTAGCTGGTGTTAGTGGTACTTTTCCTTGACGTGTCCATTTGATATTTATTGGTGTATCTCCGTGAACCCTGCAGGTTAAAACTGCTGTGTCTCCTTTTTTAACAGTCACACTTCTTGGAGGTCCAGAAAAATATGGTGAAGCTTTCATAAAAAAAAAAAAAATATTAAAATAGGTTCATCCAGAAATTAATCCTACAATGTAAATATTTGTAAATAAATGCATCTCACATCCTTATTATATAAAAATATCGAAGAGCATATAATTTTACATTGACAGGATGAACTTAATAAAAATCATTAGAGTCATTTTTGAGAAAATTGTAAACATTTATATGAAGTACAATTTCCGGTTAGTGAATTTTTAAGGAAAAGTCCCTGTAACATACCTACCTTAAATATGTAATTTCAGTTTCATATGACTTTTAATTTTAGAACTAGACTTCACACACACGCATGCAGGAACATGTAAATGTAAACACATACAGACTTCTTTGCAAGACTTAGTTATTTGGACTCAGGGTACCTTGAAACAAGAATTTAAGTTGAAAACTCAGATTTGAAATTTTTCTCAATTGCAGTAGGCATCCCTAACTATATATTTATTAGTGGATAAGTCTAGCACTGAATGGTCTAAGTCGAGTGGGGGGCATAGTATGGGGCCTCAGGTATCCAGGCACAATCAGTGTTTATAATGGTGTTGTGGTGGGTACCCTGAGGTATACATCTCTGTTCTGGTTCTGGAACCTCAGACTAAGACAGAAAAATAGGCTAGCATCGACCCAGAGGGCAGTTCTGCTTCAAGTCACCAGATCATATAGGTCTATGTTACATGAAGCGGTGCAGCTTTTTGCAGGGACGGTGCCTTTCCACTTCCTCCTGCAAGAAGAAGTGACAAAACATGATCACAAGATGAAGGGCTCAACAGGCCTTTCAGAGAACCTGAAGATAAGGATCATAAAAAACCCTGATAAATGGAAATATACAATGTAAGATGAAAAAATTAAAGAGTGGAGCAGTTGACTCCGAAAGGGAGTACCCTAATAAAATACTTATCCACCAATCAATCTCAGTTACATGTGAAATAGATCCTCCCAGACTATTGGATTTCACTATTCCTCATGGGGTATAGCGGCTTTAGAGCTAAATTATATGGTATCAGACAGGATATAAATCCTTAATGTTGCACTTGTGGTTGGTGTTCTGGAGACTGATGGGCATGTGGTCACAACCTGTACTACTTTCAACGAATTGAGCCTTGTTGATGAGAACCACATGAATTTATACCCTCACGGAGGAGAATTTTTCTCAGTTGGTGAGGGGGAAAAACTTCCCATGGTTCCACGACTTCATAAATAGCTGGAAGATAAATGGCAGTGGGTCCAGCACACTTCAACCTTGAGACCTACAGAAGAAGGAGAGAACAAGTACTGGGAAGACCTCTGGATTCTGAAAGCCAGGCTTAATTAAATTAAGAACTGAAGAGTAAAAAGAGCTTTGAATTTTTTGTACTGTTATCATTGCAGTAGTGTGTCATTATGCTATGTTATAATAGCTCCAATAGCTTCACATTACACTACTGCATATACCCATATTACAATACTGGTATGGTATGGTGGAAATAAATAAATAAAGTGTGTAAGTCAAAAATAGTAATTTATCAATAACTTATTAATAATTAATAAAATAAACCTATTATTATACTTTTCTATGAATAATATTAAAAATATAAATAAATAAATTTAAAAAACACTAAAAAAAATACTAATAGTTTTGAAAGTTATGTTTATTTAACAAGATTTTCCTATTACAACAATTTTTAGAACTGCCAGTTTTATAGCATAAGGCCATTAAATATTTTCAAGAATTTTAGTTTCGAGTTATTTTAAAATTTTAATTTTTAATGACATATAATAATGTTATTTTTAAATCATAAGTGCAAAAAAATATATACAAAAGTCAAAATATTTAATAGACAAGAAGAATAATAAGGCATGAAATGGGTTCCAAAAGTCATTCAAAAGATTTATACTTTTGGTGTGGTGATGTCATGAAATGCATAATAGGGATCATTGTACAATGGAATTCGATATAAAATTTACAATTATGTGGCTACTAAAGAAAATCTCTTATCAAGCATTTTTTAGTTTTCTAGATGTTATTGATAGTTGTTATTTACAGTGGTAATGATACAGATTTATTTGTATGCCTATAATACTTGATCAGCCATCTATAAAATATTAGTGTGAACCACAAGCGTTGAGCACATTTGTATTCCTATGAATATAAAATGTATTCACATAGATCCGAATTCATTGGTCCCTTATGAATATATTGGTATTTAAATAAAATAATACGAATATAGATATTTGTATTTACAACTGCATATATTTCTATGCAAATGGAGAGAAAAAGATCAACGCGAAGCCATGAAACTGTAAATATAACCATATTCACATCTACAGCAGCGAACACATATGCAATCATTTCTATTCAAATACCTACATATTAGTATTTGTTTAAAAATTATTCATTCATAAGATTATGTGAATTTACTGCTATCCATATCTTTTTTTTTTTTGACACTCCCCTTCCTCGCCTTTTAGACAATACAGGGGTTTTTCCGGACCAAGGGTTGAGAGCGGGGATTGATGCCTGAGTTAAAGTCCCCCTGGCCCCGGGAGGCGAACTCATACTTATTTTATCAATTATATCATTGATCACGTTGCAGGGCATCAGCGGTGCTGTGCACATGTATTAGCCCTCTCAGCCATCCCGCTCCCTTACTATTCATATCTATAAATTCAAGTGTATTGACATAAGTATATGGGGATGAATACAAGCACACCCTGGGGCCAGGAGATAGGAGGAAACTGAGCAACCCCACTCCTTGTTCAACCATTTATAAATAGTTCCTGTTTGTTGATGCATTGTTTAAAATTCAAAAGCAATATTTTGCTAATGATTCATAATGATAGGTTAAAACATGTTTGATTATAATGCCAATAATAAAGGTTGAAAAGTGAAAATAAAATAAAGACAAAATCTTGAAATTTATAATGTCACATATCTTCTAACAAAGGATAGAAAAATATTTTTAAAAATAATAGAACTTCTAGCAGGTTATTGAAAATAATTTAAGAAATCTATTAAACTATTATAGTTATCATTTATCTCTTCTTATCTTTTTTTCAAAATATGATTAGGAAATTAGTTCTGGATCTGTAAGATGAATAGATTTATGAAATACTTACAGTTGACTTTGAGTTGCAAAACTTTTCCAATGCCATTACCGATACCGTTTTGTGCTTGACAAAGATAGTAACCTTCTCTGTCTTCTTTAACATTTTGAAGTAGTAAGGAACCATTATTCAGAATTTTTGTATACATCCTGTCTCTTATTTCTTCATAGTCACCTGATTTTAATCCTGTTAAATAACAATGTCATAAATGAAAATCTGAGAAAATATCAGTAATAATATGAACAAATAATAAATAGAGCAGTAATTCCTTGCAAAGAGATTAATAACCTGTAGCTTTTTTCCAAATAATTGTTGGTTGAGGAACTCCTTGGGCTTGACAATCTAAAACAACATTTCTATTGCGTTCTACACTAACATCCATTGGTTCGACAATCCATCTCGGAGGAACTGTAGCAATAAGAAAACTGACGTTAGAAAAGTATGATTTTCAATTTGTTTTATGCATGCCGAATAATAGAAAATGATGAGATAAATACCATATTAAAACCAGTTAAGAGAAGAAAAAAGGAGAAAAAAATATATTTAAAAAAATATATATAAAATGGTTTTAAAAATATGAATAAAGTGTAGAATTTAAAAATAATTTCTTTAAAAAATATATTAAAGATTAGAAAAGTAAATGAAAAGAAATTATATCAAACTAAAATCATAATAATTGATTCTCATGCATTAATACTTTTCATAAAATTAAAAATTATTAACAATTTGCTATAAATAACTTTAATATGCTTTGTTCCAAAAAAGATAGTATTATGTATATATATTAGGTTGTATTATATAAAATTTCGGTCTTGAGGGTGGCATAAACAAAATATTAGTAAGTAAAATAGAAGTTAAGTAATTAAAACAGATTTTCAATTTTGAATTATGGTCCAATTTTCTTACATGATAAACAATATTGAATTCCAACCTTGAAAAAGCTCTAAGGCTTAAAAATTATATTTACATGCATCACAATAGTGACCTATTACTTATTTTTCAGACTTTACTTTAGTTTAAAAAAAAATAAACAAGAAAAAAAATTATTTGAAATTACAAAATGCCTTCAAGGAATATATTTTCAAGCTTTAATGAAGGAGGGTGTTAAAAAACTTTTTTATGGAATAATTGAATCTAAACACACTACCATATTTTGAATAATCAATATAATTAGATTATAACCATTTGTGATTCATCAATTTGATCCTAAAAATTGGTATTTCATCTAATACAACCCAATAATGTGATTGAATAAAAAGTTTGATAAAATATGCGAATGCTATATATTATCAGCTAGCAGTATGCAAATACTATCTGTAGTATGTACATCCTGTTACCTGATAATGATATAGCATTTTCAATAATAATATAATATTATATCATTATTGAAAATTACAGAACAATAATTAAAAAGTTATTTATATGATTAAATATAAATGTATTATTTAAATTGAAAAAGAACACATAAGTAGAGTGCAATTTGCAGTGGAAGCTTTAAGCGGGAAAAAATTGTAATATTAAAATGTTATAGTGCATTGTGCTAATAATAATCAACAAATTTTAAAAATTGAGCTCATGGAAAGGGTTAAATGAAATGTTAATGACAATGCAATTACTTCAACCAAAAGTGATTTATTTTAATGTGAGGTGTGTAAAATTTAAAGTTGCAGGATAAAAATGCAAAATAAACAATCAAGGTGAACTTCATTACCTACTTTAACCGAATAACATTTATTAAATCTAAAATATTAAATGATAAATGCAAAGCTTAAACGGGTGTAAGTGGGTGTACTCTACTAGTGCTTTATATATGAATATAATAAAGATAAAAAAAGTTATCTACTCTAATTTATACATAATAATAATATTAAAAATGTAAAAAATTTCTATTCAAAGAGAGAAAAAAAGCATGCTTAAGCAAAAGAGTAAAAGATTTAAAAATAAACCAAAAAGAGTATTTAAAAATGGAGAAAAAAAAATAAACAGTGCAAAATTACCTCAAGAACAAACCTTAGAAGGGAGGAATCGATGTCCGCAGGTGAGCATTCCCAATGTGCCAAAGCAACGTATATCAAAATTGTGATTTATTATTTTTTTCCCCAATACATATCATTACCTTTAACCTGTAGTTTTGAGGAATACCTAGCCTCAGCAGCAGGGTTAGAAGCAACGCAAGTGTATTCACCAGTATGGCTTGAATCCAGGCTAGGTATGCTGAGAAGGCTTGAGTACATGTCCAGTTTGGTGAGGTTGATAGCCAAGTGTGGCGGGAGGGGAGAATTATCCTTGAGCCACGTGATAGCGAGCGGGGGGTCACCTCTGGACACCCCACACACAATACGGGTCCGCGAACCCTCTGCAACTCCTCCTTCAGGGAATGAAAATGCTTCGATTGCCGGAGGCACTTGACATGTTTAATTGGACAAAAAAAGAGAAAATATATTTTTAGATAGAGAGAAAATTTGAAAAAAAAGAGAAGAGAAAAAGGAAAGAGAGAAAAAAAGAGAAAAAAAATTAGAAAAGAGCTAGATCACTCTTTTGAAATACCGTTGACAACTAAGCGCTGTGTGTAGACAACTTCAGCAGCTGGATTCCTTGCCACACAGGAATAGTTGCCATTGTGCTCTGGCGACAGGCTGTGTATGATGAGCATGCTATTGTACTGGTCAACCTGCTGCACTGCAAGCCTATGTTTAGGATCAAGAGGTCTGCCATCTTTTAACCAGGTCACTGTTAGAGGAGGGTCACCTTTGTTCACGCTACAGGTAAATGAGGTACGCTCGCCCAGGTGCAGGGTCTGTTCAGCACTAAGGCTTATCTTGGGAGGGACTGGAAAATAACATTACTGTAATCCACTGCATCCTCTCTTTCATAAAACCTTCATTACTCCTTAAAACCTCATAGAATTTCAAATTGTTTGTCTCAACATTTAAACTCATCAATGAAGTGTGAATAATCGAGATGGATGGCAGTCTATTGATATAAATATGTATTAATTTTTTTTTTTTTTTTTATACATAATCATAAGTAAATTACATTTGAAACTTTTTGCAAAATTATTATAAAATAAAACAACAGTTGATATTTTAATGGTAAATATTGATTTATATCTTCAACTGAGTGTTAGATTTATTAAATATCAGATGGGAGAAGACAGGTTAATTAGGGTGAATGCACCAGTTATGAACAGAGGGCCCAGTGATGGACTGGTTGTCCTTCAAATATAAATAATAAGCTTCCTTGTTGATTTAAACGTTCCAGTTTTTTGTTATATTGAAGAACAATGCCCTCTACTGACAACTGTATGAACAACATTCCCAAAAGAAAATTTAAAAATGTATATCATTGCTGTTTCTATAGTGCTCTTGTGATCAGTGTGTTTCTTACCTTCCTACATAAGAGTATAAGAGTAAGTTAAAAAATTATGTTATCTTATCTTTGTAGTTAAATAAAGATTTTAGAATTTTTCTGAGGTATGTCTATTACTGGTACTGACCCTCTGTTTGTTACTAGAACAATTAAATTTCGAGGAGTCAATCACTAGTACAAAAAGGTGTTTTTTTTTAAAATGATGATTATATCTGCATAACTGATTTTTTTTTTTCAATTTAAAAAAAAAGAGGCCCAAGAGATTCTAAATGTCCTACAGAAAAGTTTATAACTATAATAATTATGACGGCATAAGCCAAAAATTTCCTTAGCTAAGTCCATCACTAGCGCGCTTACCCTACAGCGGCTTTTTTAAAAAAAAAATGTTCAAGTATAGAAAATATGAGTTGGTGAGTTCGCAGACATAATTTGGGCTTAACATGGATATTTTATTGTGATAAGAGTAAAGTTAATTAAATTATTGTGATCTCTAAAGAGTTAAAAACTGACTTCAGAACTTTTCTTTTACTTATAGCCCTCCAACAGTGGCTGATTGTATTATTATTCAATAAAATAAAAAATAAAAAATAAAGAAATAAGAACTTTTCTTTTAGCTATTTTATTTACTATTTCATAATCAGACAGATTAGTATATGCTACATATAGTATGCATGAAATTGAATAGTAATAATTAAACTAAGCTATAATTTAATACAACTAAATATTAATAATTATATGAACTTCAGACTAGCTCCTCTAAGCTAGCAATTCACAAGTTTGATAAATCTTTACTTACTTTAATTTTATGTCTCCAAGAAAAAACAAACAAACAAATTTTAATGTTCCATAAAAAAAATTTGCATATTTAACTAATTAATTAAACATTTCACAAAATTTGACTATCGATTAAAATTTTTTTTAAAGGACAATTGAAGTACCATTGTGCTAACTCCTTTGAATTAAAATCCAATCAAAACTTGCAAAATAAAATCTGGTAACTTAACAGACTCCATGATAAAATTTAGCCAAACTTTAAAATGAGTTAATAATAATTAAGAATTAACAACTGTGGATTAGAAGATACTTATAGCATTTCCAAGTCAATTTTAACCTTTTCCAAATCCAATTCCCAAATGGATTTCTGTCTCAATAATTAATTAATGAGTAATTAGCTAGAGGTGATGGGTAGGCCAAAAATCTTACAGGTAGGAACTTATTTACACAAAAAGTTGAAATTGAAAAATGAAAGGCCAATATAGAAATAAAACTGGAGGATATTTGACTTCATAGTTGAAAATTTAAAATGCCTAAAATTTCCAATTAAATAGGAGTAAGATAAAAAAAAGACGCAGTAGATGAGAAAGATAAAATCTAGTTAGAAATTCAGGCAATTATGCAATATTATAAAAGAACAACTATAACATGAAGTTCAAGTCTAACCATAAATTCCAATAGCTGTATTCATCTGGTATGCAAAATTTACAATGATAATTGATAAACTTATAAATATTATAAATAAGTAATATCAAAATCAACCAACAGGGATGTCAGGCTGTGCAGCTTGACTAGTCAATGTTAAATGACCATAAATTTCTGATATGGGACGACCTATATCAAAATATTAAGCATATCATATTTGATTGTAAATAATGTGTATTTTGAAAATATAAAACAACGTCAAATTGATCATAATAATTATTTATGTATTATCTTTCACATTCCTTAGGACAAGTTAATAATTATAACTATAGAATAATAACATAAATTTATTTCATGTGACTATGAAGCTCAGATGTTATTTCATCATCTTGATTCTTCAAAAATGTGAAAGAGAATTGATCTCCTCTCGTTTATTCATTTTCATAAGAAGTAAGTTAGATTTGCACTCATATTCATAAAGATATTAAGAATCTTATCTCATTTATTTAAAACTTAGAATGCTTGTGGATTAAATTTCAAAATGTTACAAATCAGATTCTGGTACAGTCATGAAGACTAGCTTACCAGTAAAATCAGCCATATTAGTTAATTTAAGACCCATTTATGCAATTAATGTATACGAAGTCCAAGATAAATCAAATTTTGTTTTACTAATTCAAAACTTTAAAAGACTCGATAGGAAAATATCATATATTAGATAAACATAATTGAATTTTCAAACTTGTTTACATGCTCTGCAATGCTAAAAGAGGAGATTATCTATGAGAAGAGTAAAAATTGGAGACTTCAACTTCGAATGTGTCTAGGCATTTATATACCTTGGGACATTGTTGAACTGAAGTTATAATATATAACCAGAGATTCAGCATCAGATTATGGTAGTTAATAAATGATATTATGGACTACAGAGGCCTCTAAAATGCAAATCTCTCTCCAAGACCACCAAGATACGTATTTATAAGATTCTGATCAGGTCCATCCTCATCTATTCATCTGAATGCAGGACAATAACAAAAGCACTAACTAGAATCAACAGTATTGACATTCAAAAGAAAGATTTTGAGAAGGATTATTGGGTATATGCTTATCAACACTATATGGAGATCGAGGAAAAATTCCGAGCTATCGATTCTTTAGAGAATGATCTTGATATCATCCATTTAATAAAGGCTGAATGTCTAGGATGGGGAGGGCATGTTGCACACATGAATAGTAATGAAGTCTCCAAATTACTCCTAGAAGAAAAAATATTTGGATGTAGAAAAGTTGGAAGATCTCGCATACACTATCAAAAAGAAGAACATAATGACCATAAAATGAGATTTCCCAAACACTCTCTTTAATAGATGGTCATAGTGGAGTTGGAGCTCAGTCCTAAAAGACACTTTAGACAGTTTAACATTAATCACAAGTGCGTAACCTAGCTTTTAAAACAAAGATAGTTTGAGACTTACAAGACGCCTTTGGTATGAATGTAACAAAAACTGAGAAGTGAAAGAAGGTAGTTGGAACGAATAGTTAGGGTATGAGATACACAAGATTGGAATATAAAGAACAATTAAAACAACTTACAATAAAAATTATAAGCATTAGTCACTATGGGATTTAGGTTTAAATTTATAATTCTTTCAAAGGCCAAAGTTGTCTTGAAAACAGGACAGAAGGAGAAGATACTGTATTCCAGTTTTACTGAGGATAATTCTTTATTTTTAATAAAATGTATGTGACAGTCATAACAATTAAAAAAAATATATATATAATACTAACTTGGTATAGTGTACTGGTATTATAATATAGTACAATAAGTTATTGTCTACCATACTCACCCATCTTCTGGTAAGAATTTTAATTTCATAATGACATTTCTTCAGTTTCAAATCAAAAACTGTTTGGATTCTAACCTGACAATCTCCTGTTCTTCAAAATGTTCCTTTTTTAGCAAATGTGCCATAGGCTTGCAGATACCAACAACAAGTGGTGAGGACTCCAGTTTTAAATTAGGTAGGTAAAATGTCAACTCCTTCCTGCCTAGGAATTTTGCCAGTCAGGCTTGAAAGTACATGTTCTTGATTTTGTCTGATAGAAAAATTGCTTCTAACCAGTTGATCAAAGCAAGGTATTTGAAAACTAAAATTTGATGCCAACCTTTTGATTCAAAGAATTTTTTTTTAGATAAAATGGCAGTATGTTTTTTTTTTGGGGGGGGGGGAAGGGAGGGATGGGAACTAATTATCCCCTTTCCTCGAATATTTTTTAAGGCTCATATGTTGACAATATGTTTGGGTTGGAGGGTGGTAAATTTTTTGCTTTAATTTTTTTTTTGGGGGGGGGGAGAGAGGGGTTGATCCCTCTCTCTGAATTATTTGAAAAAAGATATAATGACAATATGTTTGGGCAGAGGGATATTACTTCTTTGTATAAATTTTAAAACAATTTAAAAAAAAATTAGGTAAGGCTCAAACCTCAAACGTCCAGCTCTTAAGACTGGAGTTTTAAAGCCTTCTAACCAAGCTCTTTTATAATACTACCTACAGTTTATAACGGAAGAATCCACATCAGACAGCATGTTTTATTTATAAAATAAAAACTATCGTCGACTTATTACAGTCATTAAGAGAAATTACATAACTTTAAATCACTAAGCATTTTGATAATTTTTTACCCCTTGTAAAATCAGAAATTTACGCGCTTGTAACTGTGGCATAAAAAAGTTTTTTTTTTTTTTTTTTTTTAAATCAATAAATAAGATTCACAAAACGTTCTTAAATGTTCAGCATCATTAAAAACTAATGAGTGTCTTTATTCAATAAACCGAGGTTCAAACTATTATATGACTGGGATGTACAGAAAGGAACGATCAACCTAAATAATTACTTTTTCAGTTAAAACCACTACCGGATCCAGCATTTAATTTTTTTTTGGGGAGGGGGGGAGGATGGCTTCGGCCCGAAAGCTTTTTTTCCATATATATAACGATAATTAATTTGGAAATAAAGAAAGAATTTAACTAACTATATGAAATGGAGTTTAAGTGATTCTTTAAGTCCTATTAAATGTAAGTACACGAACAGCAATACTTTAAGAAATAGTTTTTAATATTTTTCCTATAAACATAGTTATATTTTACCATTTGGGAGACGGGGTTGAAGGGGAGGGATAGAAGGGGCTTCAGCCTGAAAGCCCCTCTCACCCATAGATCCGCCTGAGGTTAAAACTATGATTCAAGGAACCGCCAAAGATATAATACTACTGACAAACATCATGTAGAACAGTTTACTCTATTATAACAATTTAAAAAGTCCATTAACAAACATATGGTAAAAAACAAGTAAGGTTCGAGTCATGACTCGAGCCTTTTACTGACGAGCTGTTAGGACTCGAGCCTTTTCGGTTCAAGCCTTGTAGCCTTCTCACTGAGCTTTTTTACAACACTAGTCCCAGCCCTCACTGCTCATAGCATTGCTGATAGAGCAAATTGAGAATCCCAGAAAAAGAAATGATTGATGTTTTCTCTGTACGAAACGATCCTGAGACTGGAAACCATCTAGAAAGATGGGTCAGATACAAATGTCAATTCTAATGCAGGGCTACGTGTTCGCTCAAGAGAATTACAAATACAACAGTACTAGTAGACTGGAAGAACTGGATCGATAATGGGTCGAAGAGAAGAAAAAAAAAAGAGATTAGAAGAGCTTAACGTTCAACTTTTAAAAATCAAGGAAACTCTCGTCGTCTTGGCGAATAACAACGTAAAAACATCCTGAGTCGTCATATCGTTGACTTTCCTCAATTGTAACAGCTTTAAAGAATAGAAACGGCAATTCCTCAAAACGGCTTTCCTAAACATACTTTTGCTAAAAGTAGTATCCAAATTTAATGCCAGGATTGTTCAGTTTTTGCAGGATAAATTTGGAAACAATAAAATGGCCACTTCATGTTTCAACTGCATCATAACATGTGATGTCACTGTTTACAATCTCTAGGGATTGTGAATTGTGAAGAGTGAATTAGAGATATCCAAATATTAAAAAAAAATATGTTATAGGAAAATTTCTAAGTTCAATAATGAACTTCTCTTTTCTTGCCTTCTGAAAATATATTTATTAAAGTACATAGCTTATGCGATCAAACCAATCGTAACCTAATCCTATTATTGGCGATATAAATACTGGAATATTTGGAATAACTGAATTAAAAGTGGTTATTGACACAATTTTGACATAATGACACAATTTTGAAATGATTAACTTTGTGTTGGTTTGAAATAACTCTCTCATCGGTAAGCAGTGTAAAACTAAAATAGGCTCACCTATGACACTGATCTCGCCACTCCTCTTGGCAGTCTGCCCCTGCTTGTTCTTGGCCCAACAGGTGTAGAGTCCAGCGTCGGGGCCCTTCTGGACTGGATCTATCACCAGCAAACCCGTTGTAGGATTCACTTTCTGTCGCAGGTCTTCAGGTAGCTCTCTTCCTCCTAAGAGGGATTATTGATTAATATAAAAAGTACTGTTGTCAAATTTTTTTATATTTCTTAATGATATTTACAACTGTATTACATAAATACATCAAGTAAATTTGGACATAATAGATATAATGATATGAATACACTTGCTGAGTAACTACCCAATGGTAGCACTCTAATGATATGACTATATTAGGAGATCATGGGGCCATCTTCTTTTCAGACGCCTCGGAGGGTTATCAGGAATTGAAGAGGAAGCAAGGGTAGAAACGAGAGGGTTGGGATGACTCTGAAGTTTATTATGGAAGGATAGGTATCTGGATTGGGCCAGATCTGAAACATAAGGAACATTAAGATCTTTATGGATAATTTTATTAGTGACAAAGTAAGGAGCATTGAGGATTTTACGAAGGATTTTGGATTGTAAGGATTGGATGCGAGAGGAATTCGATGGTTTAGTGGAGCCCCATAGCTCAAAATGTTGTCAAATTAAAATAATACATTTTCTACCATTCAAAAACCCACGGTTCCTGACTAAATTGAATTTGAATCATAGATACCGTAGTATTAAGATACTGGAGTGTAGTAGTACACTTTAATCGGGGCCGGAATTAGAATATTTTTACAGAGTTGGGAATGTACTAATTTTACCATCTCTTCTTTTATTTCCTGCTCTATCCTCAAAAAGAGCCACATGTTCTTTACTGTATTTTAAATGATATAGTTCTAAATAAATATCATCTCATTAAAACCTCCATTTTATTGACTGAACAAATGTCAAAATAACTGAAAAGATGATAAAATATTTTTTACTTAGCATAAAAACAATTCTTCCGCCCATGGAAAGTATCCCATTTGCTCCTATCCCTAGTTCAGGCCCAGTCTTTTGAAACGAGAAATATCGCCTATTCATAAATTTCAGATTCTCATACCTATAGATATTTCAGCCTGGTAGGTGCAGTAAAGTTTTTATTTTCTTTACCATATTGTGGATTCGAGAGGAAAAGACTTAGAAAAGGAGAAGTTCTTACTGGAAGTAAGTAAGTGGCCTACGATTTATTGTTCATAAAGAACTAATATAATTTTATCAGTTTTTATTACCATTATCATCATCAATCAAGATAAGATCAGAAAACCGTTTCTAATGTCGGATGTTTGAAATTTTCTTGACAAGGACAAATTTCTTCTTGAGTAAGAAGCGGATTAAGCGGTGAGGATTTTAGTAACCTCCTAAAAAACAAGTTTCAATCCTATTTCATGATCCTGAAAGCTCTGATTTCAAATGAACTGAAATGTCTTGCAGATAATAATAATATAAATTAAAATTTCGAAAATTTAACCTGATTTCCCATCACAATAGATTTTGAGGTTTTTTTTAATTTCAAATCTTATTAATATCAATAATGATTTGTATTTCTTGGATATAGCTACCCTTGGTATTAATCAAGAGGACATTGAGAAACTAGCTAAGACTCTAAATAAGAGAAGCAGAGCAGATCGGCCTACAAGTACATGAAGGCAAAACAAAATATATGACAATTAGCTGATAATTCCATCCTACTAAAAGCATCTGCATAGAAGGGAAATCGTTCCACAGAATAAAAAAACTTAAACACCTCGGCTCCATAATAACCTCAATGAATGACCAACGGTAGGAAACAGAGCATCGTTTAACGAGCGCAAACAGAGCTTTCTTCTCCTTTTCAAAGGTATTGGAATCCCGAAAAATTTCAAAAAATCTCAATTTAAGGGAGTAAAATGCTTTAATAAAGCCCATTCTAATATATGGATGAGAAACATGGATATTAACAAGCGTCCTAGAAAAAAGTATTGAAAGATTTCAAAGAAAAAAATATCTGCACGATAACCGTAGCAATCTGGAATTAATGGAGTGGGAATGGAGTTTCACACGTTCATTAAGTATACTGATTGACTTTTAAAATAAAAGAATACAGAGTGAAATAAATTACAAACTATTCAATTCCTTTTTGAAATAAATTCTCTAAAAATTCATTCCATGCAATTTCACTGCATCGCATCAGGTACACACTTACGCCCATATCTAGTGAGGTTAGTAATCGGCAAAGAAATATCATTAGAAAAAAAAGTTCGTACTATCCTAAATCTGTTTAATCATAAGCAGAGGCTTAGCTAGAGTGGTGACTGGGCGTACGAGGCTAGCTCCATTCATTGGGAGGCGCCAAAGAACATATAATAAAATAGTTTTTTTTTTATCCTTAAACAAGTTCAAAGAAGTTTCCATATTTGAGTGTATTGTCTGCCTCCGATGTCCATTGACTAAACTACGGCACTGATCAGAAAGACATTCTTCGGTCGAAAGAAAAAAAAAAGTTCTTTGAACAAACAATTTTGTAAATAAAAAAAAGTGAAACTTTAGTTATATGCGGTGAAAAGATAAATTTTCCAGTTGAAACTCATTGTCTACGTCATTTTAATGTATATATGAGCTTAACTGTACTTCTATAAATAGTCTCTTTGCTTATTCCAAAATGACTAAGACCTGAGAATAATAAGCGGGTAAGCTCGAACATGCCCAAGCAAGGCAAAAAGCTACCGTGGTTTTTGTGGTAGAGTTACATCCAAACCCTACCTGTTCCACCCAGTTCTACTAATAATAAACAACTTTACATCAAGAGAAATAATTGGCCGAATTAAAGGAATGTATATATATATATACCATTAAAAAAAAGAAAGAACAATATTTTAATTAAAAAAATATTAAAATAGAAAAAAGTTAAATATCAACTTTAGGAGTCATTATTACTCATTTTTTAATATTATGTCTGTTGGATTTACATCCATAGTTTGTATATACATTGTTCGGTATTATATATCATGTATATTGTAAGTTGTTTTGTATTAATAACACGGCCCCTCCCCGGTCTCATCCTGTCCTACTCCCTCTGGAATACGGATGCCTTATCTACGAAATAAGTACAGAAGCTTGAAGACGAAGCACGCAGCCACCCTGCTCGCCCCAATCACTCTATCAAATACACGGCCCACGGCTAACGGAGAGAGAATTACAGCCCTTCGGCTATACACGTTACATCCCTTCGGCTACACATTAGCTGGACACCATTTCCAACACATTAGACGAGCGGCGGCATCGGGAGACAGGAGACAAACCACAGGCATGAGACTGGCCCCTTATCAAATTGTATGTTAAGATTATTATAATTAATTAACTCACTAAAACTAATTGCCCCTTCCGAGACATTAATTGGAAGTTATAATAAAAGGAAATTAGCAAAATAAGTAGTGATGTCATTCAAAGATATTCTTCCATCGAACTTTTCATTTTTTATTTCACAAGAAAATTGAACACCGGTCATATAGCATGTACCGGGCCCCCCAATGTTGTACAATATCAGTCAATTGTATAAAAAAAGTTTATAGTGACTAAAGTTTTAGTATTAGGAGAGTAGGAGATAACAGGAGCTCAACTTTTTAGTGCTGATCTCCTATGGCGATTATTTTACCAATTACACAACTCGTTCATTTAATTATATGTGTTCAGCACCTGTTACCTCCTAATTTCCTAATACAAAATAAAGATTTTAGACTAAAAATTTGTATGGAAAATAGTGTGCATGTGAAGAAGAAAAATAAATTTTATTCTGGGGCTAAGTCCTCTTAGAATAACTACCATGTTAAATTTAATGACAAATGTATGGCATTAGAAATAATTAGGAATAAATTAAATTATAAAGTTATCTAGATCTAAAATTACAATAAAGAAAAGGCACTGGTAGACATATGAAAATGTAGATAAATTCAGATATGCGAGTTCATATATTTATACAAATAAACAGTGTGAATAATATATAATTATCTGTCGGATAACATTAAATGCGACTGACAGGTCTGAATACATTTCTTTTACACATATTCGGAAGATTTATTGCTGAGGAGATGGATGGATAAATTATGTTTAAATGAGGTCAAGGATGAGAATTTGCGTATGGAGATTGGTAGGGAATTCCAAAACAAGGTATTTTTGATACGTATGACGTATGACAAAGGATTTTTGAAGCTGGATAACTTGAATATATATCACGGTTACAAATTAGCAACAAGAATAATTATAATTATATAATAGCAATGATTATAATAATAATAATAAAATATAATAATAACAAATAATTGGCAATGATTTTTAAAGAAATTAAAAATTTGTCCGAACTGTGTTTCTGTTTAGTTTATTTCATGTTGATAAAAATTAATATCATTTGAACTAAAGAATACATGCAAATTAAAGTTAAACAATTTGAGCAACGATTAGTACAATTAAATGAACAGTTGTGTAGTTTGTTAATTGGAAGTTGGACCACCGTTAGGCTGACAGGGGGTACCCCAGTTTATAAAATCAAAAATTGAATAATAATAATTGTGTTATAAATAGAAGAATTTAAACAACAAAGCCATGATTATCAGAACATACAGGTGAGTATTTAACTTGCAAACGTTTCGCCATTTCCGGCATCATCTGAGCAGGATAACCAAAATCACTTATATGCAGAAAGAAAAACAAAAAAGAGAAAAAATAAAATATTATTGTTGCTGTAGACATCTCACGAAGCCATATATGTATATATATATATATATATATATATATATATATATATATATATATATATATATATATCTGAAGATTCGTGATTAAAAAAAAAATTCAGTATACACTGAACATTTATATCGCTATTGTTAGTGAAAAGGTCCTTATGTAAACAAGTGTTTTAGCGGAAATCATAAAAACTAATTATTTCTTTATGATGTACTAGGATAATATCAAATAATATTGCCCTCTGCTATTTTACATAGTAGCGGACTACCTATATCCGTTGCAGACTACAAAATGTCACCTTTAGCACAAATAGAATAAAAATTGAAAATTATGCATTCGACTTTTAGAGCTAACAGTAGCCATATGTACTTAATAGATATGTTTTAATTATTAAAGTAGATTGATCCAAAAATCC